CTTTCTTTCTGCTTTTTCTTCCCCAAATCCCCCCAGTAGATAGTTGTATATTTTTTAGTTGTGGGTCCTTCTAGTTGCAGCATGTGGGACGCCGCCTCACCGTGCCATGTCCCCGCCCTGGATCCGAAGTGGCGAAACCCTGAGCCGTGGAGGCAGAGAGCTCGAACTTAACCACTCCACCACGGCGCTGGCCCCTATAATGTGCTTTTAAACTGTATAGAAGTGACTCATCATGCTCAAAGAGGAACTTAGATTTCCAGCCTTAATGTTTCTTGAGTTAACAGGGAATTCTACATCCCCAGGAAATGGTCTGAGATCTACACAGAAATCAATTTGTAAAGATGATCATCACAACACTATTCATTACAGCTAAACTTTTTTAAAACCTAGATGTCCAACAATAGAAAATTGCTTAAGTCATTCTAGGCTATGAAATATCGTCAACATTGAGGAGGCATGGTATAATGCTCACTGCACGATGTTGTCAGAGAAAAGCAAGACAAAAATCTCCACAAACAGTAAAACGTGGACATGCATTCACATGTAGAAAAAACCTGCAAGGAAATGAAGTACACCAAAATTTTAATTGTGCTTTCTCTTGTCGTTAGCATCTTACATTACCATGACACATTTGTCACAACTAATGAGCCTATATCGATATATTAACTAAACTCTATACTCTATTTGTATTTCCTTCGTTTTTCCCTAATGTCCTTTTTCTGTTCAAATATCCCATCTGGGATACGATACTAACATTTGGTAGTCATGTTTCTCTAGGTTCTGCTTGGTTGTGACAGTTTCTGAGACTTTCTTTGTTTTTCATGACCTTGACAATTTTGAGTACTATGGTCACGTATTTTGCAGAATATCCTTCAATTTGTGCTTGTTTGTGTTTTTCTCATGATCAGACAGGGGTTGTTGAGAGGAAGACTACAGAGGCCAAGTGCCACTGTCCACACATCAGATCAAGGGTACAGCAGTGCCCCGTTATGTGCAGGGAATACATTCCAAAACCCCCCTGAATGGGGATGCCTGAAACCGTGGATACTACCAAACCCCACATATACTATGTCTTTTCCTGTACGTACATCCCTATGATGAAGTGTAATTTATAAATTAGGCACAGTAAGAGATTAACAACTACTAACAAAACAGAACAATTATGACAGTTGTCAACTTAGAAAAAAGAGACAACTGCAAAACAAAATGAGAGCATTTATTTGGGGTTTTAGAATAGCAATTGGGGGCCAGCCTGGTGGCGCAGCAGTTACATTCACGTGTTCTGCTTCTTGGCGGCCTGGGGTTGGCCGGTTCAGATCCCGGGAGCGGACATGGCACCGCTATGCAAGCCATGCTGTGGTAGGCGTCCCACATATAAAGTAGAGGAAGATGGGCATGGATGTTAGCTCAGGGCCAGTCTTCCTCAGCAAAATGAGGAGGATAGGCCATAGTTAGCTCAGGGCTAATCTTCCTCAAGAAAAAGGAAAACAAAAAAAAAGAATTGCATTCGGGGAACACAGGTTCCAGCAGCCACAAAAGTGTCCCCTCAGGAATAAAGGTCATGAGTTTTCATTAGCAAAAAGGAGAGCCCAGAACAATTACCTTATTGTTTGTTAGGGAGGGTAAATTTATGTCACAGTTGATAGGCTTACTCAGGGATATCTTGTTGCTACCCAAAATAGTCTATCTTTTTGCACAGTCCTTCAGAAAATCCTTTCTCACCAAATAACTCTCTTTTGGCCACTGAGCAAGATCAGCACAGTTTCGTATCTTTTAAACAAGATGGAGTCCAGGGTACAAAATGGAGTCACTGTTGTCAACTTGTTTCACACCAAGATAGTGTAATAAAAGTTACGTGCATGTGGTCTCTCTCTCTCTTCAAAATATCTTCTTGGAGCGTCCTCACCCATCTTCTGTGATGATGTGAGACGGTACAATGCCTGCGTGATGAGATGAAGGGAGGGGAATGGCGTAGGCATTGTGATGCAGCGCTAGGCTACTGTTGACCTTCTGAGGACACGTCGGAGGAGCATCTTCCGATTCTCAATCGCAGTTGACTGTGGGACTGAAACTCTGGAAATCGAAACTGGCTGAGGGGGGACTACCGTACGTGGTGTCCACACGATTGATCACTGGTGATGTTAACCTAAGGTAGTGCTTGCCTTGTTTCCTCATTGTAAACGTTCCTCCCCGCCCCACGTTCTGTCCTGTACAATTTGGTAGTGAGTAAGCACAGGTGCCTGACTTTTGACTCCTTTATAGTTTTCAGTATTTTCTAAATTTTCTACAATAAACATATATTACCTTAGAAAACAGCCATAAACTCCCAATTTTAAATCCTACCTATTCTTCAAGTCTCATCTGAAATGCCACTTCTCCTAAGTCCGCCCCACCCCTACCCCAGACTGGATGTGGTTTCACCCACCCTCCTGCGATACTGTCCCTGTGGCACATTTTTTCCGCTGTTTCACCCTCACGCTGAAAGGCTGTTTAGCCCCACTCGTTTCTACCTCCACCTTCTATCAGAAGGGGTTACAGGAGGGGCTGCTCTCCTCCGCCTCCTGCAGGGCCTCGTCTACAGAGGACATGGTCCTCTACACTCCTAACATCTGTCTCTTTCTGTTCTGCCCCAGAATCGTTGAGGATGCCCGGTATTCCAGCAGGACGAACAGTGAAGAAGTTACTTTGGAGAGTATTCCTTAGACCAGTCTGGAGCTTCCTGCTGACGTGTTGAGGAAGGCATGCAGAAAGCATAATCAGTAGTGTAGGGAGAGCACCACCTACCCACGATGGCATTCCTGGGCATGGGGGAGGGAGCATCCTTGAGCCCACTGAGGTTTGTGGTGACCGAAAAGTATGTGTGTCACATTTAATTCACGTAAAAGAACAATCTTCTACTCTTTCATAGCCTGTTGTTTGTTTGGGTTTTTTTTTTCTTTTGCTGAGGAAGATTTGCCCTGAGATAATATCCACTGACAATCTTCCCCTTTTTGTATTTGAGCGCCACCACAGCATGACCACTGACAGAGAAGTACTGTAGGTCTTGCACTGGGAACTGAAACCTGGGCCGCCAAAGGGAAGCATGCAAACTTAACCACTAGGCCACGGGGGCTGGTTGCCTTTTGTTTCTTTTAGCTCTCAAGTTTCTTCTGTCTCAGTCCTGACTAGGCAGAGCCAAAGACCACCAGCCTCTAGTTAGTACCCTTAGTAAAGAGCTTTCTTCCCAAGAAATGTTATTTATTTAGGTGCTATCTGAATCTGAGGCAGGATTCTCAGTAAAGTAGCAATTTAGAACATTCAATGATAAATCAGAAGGGGAATGGAGATATAAATAATATGAATCATAATCCATATAAAGGCAAAAAAGCTCTAGTTGCCATGTTTACATCTTAATAATTGTCCTGTTCTTTTTCTATACTCGTAAATATGTCTCGCAATGTTATTTGTAAATACCTTCTTGAAGACTTCTAGAGTCCAGAAGTTTAATCTTATGGCCCCTGGAATGTGACCATCAGTTTTTAAGCCCCACTAACTAATTACATGAAACAACCTCCTAGGCTATAATGCGCAATTATGACTCTGAATTTTCATTGTTAGGAAGGAGGGTTTTAAGTGATTTGTCACGATCTTCTCTCTTTGCTTGAACTACTGCCAACAGCTGTCAGTGACTCGAGCAGATTACTTTTGCCTTAAAGTGCTGTGGCCGAGAGCCTGTGCTTGCAGACGTTCTTTCACTTGCCTCACAGAGATGTTGAGAGGATTAAATGATTGCCCTAAAACAGGTGCCCTGGGAGCCTCAGGTCCTTCCCCAACAGTTCTTTTCCTTGCTGGACTAGAAAGCTCTGTCAGTTCCACGTGTTGCTGTGGCAGAAGGTTTGTGTTGGGTAGAAGGTGCCCCTTTCCCACCACTTATTTGTTTGTAAAACCAATATTCCTTTTTAAGTGATATTTATGCAACAAAACACCTTGTTTAATGGCATAGATGCAGGTTCAAGATAACATCTGAAAGGACACATGTCAAGGTCATCACTAAGGTTACTGTGGGGAGGAGGATGATGGTAGTGACAGTAGTCAAAGCGTTGAAAGGAGACTGTTTATCTGTAGCGTTAATATCTGTAATGAACTGTACTGATTGGGAATGTTGCAATATTTAGCCCTTAACAGAAGTTGTTTATACTTAGAGCTCTCTTTCACTCCTGATATTGTTTATTGGTATGGAAACTATTTGTCATAGTAATGCTATTTAAAGGGAAAAGAATAAAAACCCAAAAGGGTTCTAATAAGACCCCAGAGGAACTATCTTCAACTGATATTCCTTAGCATATATTAGGGTCTCACCCTGAAAACCTTCAAATACAGGCGTGCCCCTTTTCTGAGGGGAACACATTCCAAGACCCCAGTAGATGCCTGAAACCGTGGCTGGTACTGACCCTATATGTATTATGTTTTTTCCTCTCCATAGATACTTATGATAAAGTTTAATTTATAAATTAGGCACAGTAAGAGATGAACAATAACTAATAATAAAATAAAACAATTATAACAACATACTGTAATAAAAAGTACCACAGATCTCAGCAACCTCAGCATACAATTTTTTCTCTTTTCCTATTAAGTTGAGAACTTCACCTTTTCACTTAAAGGAAGCACATTACAGCTTCTCTTTGGCATATCTGAATGTGCAGCATCATGACTCTTGCATATTGGGGCCATTATTAGGTAAAAGCTCTGTGATACTGCAACGGTCCGTGTGATAACCAAGATGGCAACTAAGTGACAGAAAGTTATTACAGTGTGGATACCCTGGACAAAGAGATGATTCATGTTCCAGGTGGGACGGAGCAGGATGGCACAAGATTTCATTACACAACTCAGAACAGCAGGCAATTTAAAACTTATCAATTCTTTATTTCTGGACTTTTCCATTTAATATTTTCAGACCATGGTTGACTATAACTCAAACTGATGAAAGTGAAACCATGGATAAGGGTCGACTACTGTAACTGGTTATATTTTCAGGAGAGTCACCCTAACTCTTTGCCACCCAAGTGTTTGTGGAAGAAAGCCTGCAGCTGCTTCCAAGCATCCACCTGGGCCATGGCATGAGCCCTGGGCTCCCCTCCCCAGATGACAGGACGGCCCACCAAGGTGTGCATGGAAGCCGGGCACATGGGGAAGTAAGGAGGCTCTATGTAGTGCCCCGCCCCTGGGTAACAGATGATCTGGGCCTCTCCTTACCATGCGCCTGTAAGCGTTTAGAGGCCTCACTGGCATAGAATTCACTCTTCCAGTTGTGGTCATCCTGACCTACAAGGAACAGGAAGGCACTCTCAGCCCTTTCCACAGGAATGAAGCTCTTCTGGTCGGGTCCTTCCAAAGGGCTGTTGAGGACATCCAAAATGTCTGCAAAGCCCTCACTGGTCACTTTGACTCGCTTTGGGTTGATGCCTACAGGGGGCAGAGTCTCCCCCTTGTAGTGCAAGGCGCCTCCAACGTTGGCCACAGAGCCATTGATTATGACGGTGGCAGTGATGCCCTTCAGGAATGAGGCCATGGAGAGGCAGAGATCGCCCCCTTTGGAAATGCCAAGCAGCCCAACTCCTGGACCCTTTACCTGAGAAAAGGACAGACGATAAGGGGAGAATGAGTCCATGATCATGGCAGTGTGAGGAGTAGTGCCCGGAGTTAGAGGTCAGGTGGAACTGAGCCTGAATCTGGGCTCTACCATTTACAAAGTTTGCAACCTTGGGATATTTACTCATTCTTCCTGTCTTCCTTTCCACAATTTCTCCATCACCATTCCTGGTGACTTCAATAACCATGTGGAAGATCACTAAATACTTTGGCCTCTCAGTTCCTTGACCCCTAATCATCTTTTTATCTAGCCCACCTCAGCCACCCACTCCCATTGTCATAACCTAAACCAAGTGATCATCTCCAGAATCTCAGCTTAAGCATTCTACTCTCTGATCACCATTTTAAATAATTCCAGATTAGCCATGCTAGACTGCCCATTAACACCTCCTTGAAACCCTGACTACCACTATTTTCACTATCAATACCTTTGTCATGTTCTCACTTCCCACCTCATCCAGCTTAGATGTCCAGCCTCATTGTTATTAGCACTCCCTTGCAAGCACTCTAAACTCCTTGAATACTTCTCTTCCTTTGGGCATACTAGCCTGGAAAAGGGCTAGCCTTGGCTAAATCCACCTGATCATTTCCTCTAGGTCTGCACTGGTGCAAATGAACATTGCTGGAGCAATATATACACATTTGTGCCAACAGGTCTTACTTTCGTTTCATGACCACAAATTTCAAATCACTATCCATATGGCCCATTGACCCAACCACACTTCACTGTTATGTTTGCCCTCCGTGTCTCCAAAAGACCATTCCACACCTTCTCCTACCTCCTGAAGTGCCTTCAGCTCTGTTCACCCTCACTTTCAGCTCTCCATCCTCCATGGAGAAGACAGAAGCTATCCTGGAGGAACTCCTCCTCCTTTCCCCTGCCAGCTCTACTGAGCTCCACATGAACTCAAGTTCTCTGCCTTCCCTTCTGGTTCCAAAGGAGTCCCTCTGTTCTCATCAAAGGCCACTCCTCTGCTTGGCTTGGGATCCCATCCACTCTGATTCTCCAGGACCTTGCTCCTGCAAATGCTCCCTCTCTCTCTCCCTCTCTCCCCTTCATAACTTTCTTCTCTACCGGCTCATTCCCATCCATGCACTTCCGGGTCTCGTACCTCTTCCGTTTTCATAACAGTCCCTGGACCCCACATCCACTCTGCCCTAGTTTTCTACTCTCTTCACAGTAGAGTTTGTGGGAGAAATTGTCTGCAGCTCTTCTCTTTCTTGTCTTCCATTCTCTACTTAATCCCCTCCAAGGTAATCTGGGTTTGCAACATGCAGCAAGGACTGCTCTTGTCACATTTATCAAAATCTTGTATTCCAAATGGCTGTTTAATTAACCTCTCAACAGCAGTCTTTCTTTTCTCGTGGCTTCTACAATAGCATCCTTAACTGTATTCAACCACTTATTCCTCATAAAAGTACTAGGAATTAAGTGATATTATTATCTCCCAAATTTTCCAAGGAGGAAACACAGGCCCCAAGATCACAGGGCTAGTAATTGGTGAAATCAGAACTCAAATTTAACTTTTGTCTATCTACATCTTATGCTGGCTCTACGACACCCTGTCACCTTTTCTAAGAGCTCCAAAGCTTCCAGACACCGTCAGCTCTGACTGAATTGGAAAATAGGCAGGGCTTTTCTTCTGATCCTCTGCTACCCTGAGCCTAGAACCCTCAAAACATCTCCTAGTTCCCAGGTTCTGTGGCCACCAGGTGCTTCCTTTAAACTTACTACTGTTCTCTCAGAGGGGGCACCGGGAAGAGAGGGTTGTTCACACACACACTTGAACCGGGTACTCTAACACACTTCCTAGAGAAGTTCCAACCTGAGGGTGACTAAGCAGGCAGTTCACAGCTTCCTCAAAGTACTCCAGGTGGAGGCTCTCTATGCTCTTGGGGAGGTCGTCATAGTTGTAATAGGCCAGAGCCATCACAGCAAAACCCTTCCCAGCCAGCAGACTAGCTCGATATTCCAGAAGGCCACCTCCAGCTCCAAAAACGTCCACAATCCCAGGAAAGGGTCCAGGTTCTGTGGAAGAAACAAAACACAAAAACGAACTTTTTCTGAAACTCTTTGCAGTGGTATCAAAAGCCATCTGTTGCCTACTTGGTGATGTCAAAGTTTTCTGTTGACAATGAGAAATGCTGGAAGACCTCTGGTCTTCGAAGGTCCAGACAGCAGCAGAGGCTGAATCCACGTTCCCCTCTACACCCACACTTCTTTACAAGGAACATGTATTACTTTCTGATTAAAAGCAATTTACATACAGACAACGAAAACAGCTAATCATTGTCCCCCCTCCCCAAAGTGACAGTGCCAAATGCCAGGAGGATGTGGAGCAACTGGAACCCTCATACACTGCTGGTGGGAATGCAAAATGATACAGCCACTTCGGGAAAGACTTGGCCATTTCTGATACAGTGAAACATATACTTACCATAGGCCCCAGCAGCCTCACTGCCAGGTCTCCACCCAAGAAATACGAAAACTTGTGTTCGCAAAATGGTGTATGCAAGTGTTTGTAGTGACTTTACTCATCTCCAAGGACTTGAAACCCAAATGTCCTTCAAATGGTGAATAAATCAACAAACTGTGCATCCATATAAGGGGGTCCCACTAAGAAGCAAGAAGGAACTATTGATACTTGGAGCAACAGGAATGAATCTCAAAGGCATTAAGCTAGACTCAAAAGGCTACATATTCTGTATGACTCTATCTACTGGCTATTTTCACCATTTACATCAAAGTTTGTATTTAACAGGCCACACTTAAAGAATAACACTAAAGCAAACCCTTTCGACCCAACACTTTCAGAAGTCACCCAGTACTAACCCCCGAAGCCCCCTGAGTCCCTGGGCCCCTTCCCTCCCTGTCCCCTCTCCTGGATTTCATCATTCTCCTGATTTCCTTCACAGGATTACCACTTCTATGTGTACCTTAGTATTTTGCTTATTTTGCCTATTTTTTGAATTTTATCTAACTGGAATGATGTTGAACGTGTTCTTCTGGGATTTGTTTCATTTCACACTGTTTTGAGAATCGTCCATGGTGACTTGCAGCTGCCGTTCAGTCACCTCTGCTGTAACTGTACCTCCGTGGAGTCGTCAGTTCTGCTGTTGATGGACATTCGGGCTGTTTCCAGTTGGGCTCTTACACACAATACCTCGTGGTGCACATGTGCCAGGAGTAGAATGACCTAGTCAAGTTTCTAGACCAAAACAAATTATTTCCAGGAGGAGATGAATGACTATATTCCTTTTAGCAGTGTATGCGAGTTCCTTTTGCTCCACATACTTGTCAGCAACTAGTAACGTTAGACTTCTAAATTCTGGCAAATTGTGAGGGTGTGGAATGTATTGAGTAGGTTTATTTTGCATTTCCCTGATTCCTAATGAGGATAAGCATCTTTTTTATTCATTGGCCGCTTGCTTTTTATGTAATGGTAAAATTATCCAGGAACTTCAGATTTCCAGTTGATAGGAAGAGGCTGTCCTCCCTCATGCTGATTTTCTGAAATCTTCATATATGTGGGAGTTAGAAGTAAAGTTGGAAAACACAGAAACTTAAAAAACAATTAAAAACTTAAAACTACCCAAAAAAGTTTCCTTAAAAACTTAGAACTGTCTTTTCCCTTTCCTTCCCATGTCTCCTTTTTTAAATTACAACGGTCTTTTCCCTTCCCTTAGGATGTTTTCTTTTTTTATGTGTGAGGCAGATTGTCCCTGAGATGACATCTGTGTGCCAATCTTTCTGTATTTTGTATTTGGGATGCCGCCACAGCATGGTTTGATGAACGGTGTGTAGGTCCAGCCTGGATCCGAACTTGCGAACCCCGGGCCGCCCCGCAGAGTGGACCCACTTAACCACTAGGTCACCGATCTGATCCCCTAGGATGCTTTTTAACTGGCCTCTCTGTTTTGGATCAGCAGAACATCTCCCCAGCCGGCCTACATTTCACGCCTGTGTCCTTGACATTGTAAGGCCCCAGGGACCTCCAGAATGTTGGAGCCACCTCCTTCCTCTCGGTAGAAGCCAAGAAAACAGGAGAAAGACTGGCTGATAGAATAGGGAAGCGGGGGGCTCACCTGGCGGCAGGAAGAGCGTGGCGCGCACCCGGCCCGCGCGCACCGGCTCCCGCCGCACCCCGGGCCCCAGGAAGGCGCGCTCGTGCACCGCCCGGCCCAGCAGCCGCCCGGCCTCGGGCTCGTGGCCGTCGAGCACCTCCAGCTGCACGGCGAACGGCGTCTGCACGTCCCGCTTCACCAGCCGCAGCAGGGGCTTCTCGGGCTCCAGGGCCCAGAGGAGCCCCATGGGCTCGAGCCCCGCGAAGCTGCCGCCCAGCGCGGGCGCGCGCTCCAGGTCCAGCTGGCCCGTGGCGTCGGCGCGGTAGCGCGCGTGGGCCCGGAAGAGCGCGCCCTTCTCGTCGCGCAGGGACGCGCGCAGCGTGACCGGCTGCCCCGGGGCCAGGCCGCGCACGGCGATGCGCACGGGCTCGTCCCAGAGGCAGCGGCCCGCGGGCTCCACGGTCACCGTCGCCGACTTCCGAGCAGGAACCCACGAGACCGGGTTGGCAGGCCTCAGCTTAGGACAGCCCGGCAGCCGCGCCCAGCTCTTTGGGCCCCATCGGCCGAGTGCAGCCGTTCGCAGGACAGCGGGAGATGAGGCCAACATTTTGCGCCTTGATTTCAGACCTCGGATCAACTGATCAGAGCTGTGGAGAAGGTTCGAAAGTGGTTAGAGATCCCCTGGTGGCAGGCTCCTTATCTGCAGGCTAAGCGACCAATGGAGACACGCAGCCTGCTGAACAGTTTGGTGAACCAGAGACGTGCCAATCAGTAGCGTACTTTAAGAGCAAGCGCAGAGAGAGAGACACGGACGAACTTGCCCAAAGTCTCCTGTAATAAAAAGCTTCTACATTAAGTCGGGAAAGAACTTCCTAGTTCCGCCACTCGGAAGCTTTTTGGCACGTGCAAAGCGCGGTTTAGCAGAGCTGGCTCTGAGGTACCTGGCACCTAACAAAGTCTCCAGTCACCAAACTCTTAATGGCTAAGAGGAGTTCAGGACTGGAATTGAGTTTTAGCCCTTTGTTGAGTAATTGACACCCTTTAATAATCCTAGTTCCAAATGTTGTCATGTTCTGCTGGTCATCAGTCCTACAACTCCCTGTAGTTCTAATTTTGTACTGGTTCTGTGGGATGCTTCACACTATATTTTGTGCACAAGAGCCTCATAAACTAAAGAAGGTAAATAATAATAGCCAATTCTTACAAGAGACTTATGAAAAAATTAAGGCCCAGAGAGATGAACTGATTTGCCGAAGATCACACAGCTAGAAAGTGGCTATGCTGGGCTTTAAATCTTTGCAGTTGGATTCCAGAGCCTGTGCTCTGAACCATTATGCTTTAAGTGTCTCTCACATGATGATGATGTCCTATGCTGGAGAAGATTTGGAAAACAGACATTCATAGACTGGTGGTGGACACAAACTGGTATGACGTTTTCAGAGCAATTTGGTTAAAAATGTTTAAAAGATGCATTCTTTTTAACTCACAATTCCACTTTTAGGAATTTCTCCTAAGTAAATATTCGTGAATGTGTGTAAATATCTGGCTACAAGCATGCTTATCATGTTGTTTTAAAAGAGGAAAAATTAGAAACAAACTAGCAATATAGATTTGGTTTAATTGTGATGCAGTCATATAACAGAAGAGATGGAGCCATTAAAAATGATATAGCAGAATATGATGAACAAATTTTCATGACATCTTTAAGCAGGTAGAAAACATATATAACTCTTTAAAAAATATATTAATACATTAAAGAGAAGAAAAAAAAAGACTAGTCAAAAACTACCCCAAAATGGTATTTCTTTGGCTTTGGGGTATTATGGGTAGTTTTAATTTTCTTCTTTGTCCAGAATTTCTATCAGAAAAAAAGCATGGCTTTTATAATTAAACAGAGTTGTTTTTTAAAAAATTTGTGGTAATATACAAACATAAGATGTGTATAGTTAATTAAGTACATTCACATTGTTGTGCACTCATCACCATTGTCCATCTCTCCAGAACGTTTTAACCACCCAAACTGAAACTCTGGACCCCTCAAACAGTAATACCCCATTGCCCCCTCCTCCCACCCCTGCAGATCACTATTCCACTTTCTGTCTCTATGAATTTGACTATTCTAGGCACCTCGTAGAAGTGGAAGCATACACTATTTGTCCTTTTGTGTCTGGCTTATTTCACTTAGCATAATGTCTTCCAGGTTCATCCATATATGTAGCATATATCATAATTTCATTCCTTTTTAAAGCTAAATAATATTCTATTGTATGTATATACCACATTTTCTTTATCCATTCAGCCACTGATGGCCATTTGGGTTGTTTCCACCTTTTGACTATTGTGAATATACTGCTGTGAACATGGGTGTGCAAATATCTGTATGAGCCCCTGCTTTCAATTCTTTGGGGTATATACCCAGAAGTGGAAGTGCTGGATCACGTGGTGTTGACCTAAAACAAATAAGGAGCCAGTTATTTTACCAGCAGAATGGGTTTATTCAAGAATTGCAAACAACTGCAATTCAGGACATACAGCTATGGAGAACCATGTGCAAGTCCAGAGAAACATTCTTTTATGAAGTTGGGAGGGGCTGTTGTAAACAGAGTCCATTGGCAGTGTAGTGGCTTTTCATTGGCTGAGCTGTTGCTCAGGAATATCTTCCTTCCTTTTATGGGGTAGTAAGTAGTATTACTTCCTGTTGGAGATGCAAGGTATGGCTCTTCCTGTTGGGGTCTGTGCTGTGTTGAGTTGCCGTGCATGAGAGTTCTCTCTTCTGGCTTCCCCACTCCATTTTAAATGAGGTTTCTGTTATTTTCAAATTTTCCCCGTTTGATCAGGATCTTTCTCTGAAAGCATCACTGACCAAGAGTCAGGTTTTTCCAGATTCAGTGGCCTTTTGTCCTTGATGCCAGGAAGGACCTTCCGTAGGTGTCATGTCCCATGTCAGAGGGAAAGTGAACAGATGGAAACGTACTAAGATCACATTTGAGTAAGAAGGATGGGTAGGAGGGAGATCTCTCATTTCCTATCTAAGTTTGTATCCTTCTAATAGGCCTGGTCTGGACATCTTAGGAAAGTTGTCTCATCAGATGTCATCTGCTTCGATTCCAGGAAATCTTTACCTTCAGGTTACCAGATGGTGTGCAGGTCGTCAGGATTTGGTGCTTTCTTTAGATGTGTCACGTGAATCCAAGAGTCTACTCCCTGGAGTTTGGTGACACAAGGGTTAGTTAGCAGTACTTGATAGGGGCCTTTCCAGAGAGATTGAAGAGTCTTTCTGGAGGTGTCTTTTCCAATAGATGAAATCTCCAGGTTGCAAGGTGTGATGCTTAAGGTTCTCGTCTCCCTGGAGCACACCATGAAAAGATTGCTGTACTAGAATGTAGTTATTTTTGATAGAAGAAATTAGGCCTTTCCAATATTGAAGTGTATCTCCTTTTGCCAACTCCAGATCAAAAGAGGCAGAAGCCAGATGCTTTGGGCATCCTGTGACTATCCCAAAGGGTGAGAGTTTATTAGTTCCAACGGGGGTGGATCTGAGATTTAGAAGACCAATGGCAATGCTTTTGAGCCAAGGTATTTCGGGGGTCTCTACAAATTTTGCCAATTAAGTCTTAACAATGCCGTTAGTGCATTTTACTAAACCAGAGGATTGAAAGTGGTAAGCTCAGTGAAAGTGTTGTGAAACCAGTCAAACAGCAGACTTGTCAGAGCACCTGACTGGGAAAATGGGTTCCTCGATCGCTGTGAAGTTTGAAAGAGGTTCCCCAGGTAGGGATAATCTTTTCTAAAAGGACTTTAGCCACAGAAGAGGCAGTAGCCTATCTAAAAAGGAAGTCTTCAGTCCAGTGAGAAAACATACAGACCACGACTAAAACATATTTATATCCATGAGACGGGAGCAACTGTATGCAATCCATTTGCCAAACCTCAAATGGCCTGGTAGGCAATTTAAAATGTCCAGAAGCAGTGCGAACAGGGTTCCTTGGATTGTATTTTGGACAGGTGGGACAAGTGAGGTAGGTGCTTTTTGCAGCCTTATTTATATTTCCCCAATATTGATTCATGAATGCTTATCATTTTGTTGGTGGGCAATGGTTTAATGCATGTACAGTGGTCAGGAGTGGGAATTTTAGACTTTGGTAGGACTGGGTTATTTAGTCCAAACCAGAACTTTCTCTTTTTATGAAACCAGTCATTATTGAATTTCTAACCCTACTTTTCCTTTTCTGAGGCTAATTGTTGGGCTTACCTAACCAGTTTTTCTAAAGTATCATTTGGGGAAATATCTTTTTGGACCATGACAGAGGTTTGGCTGCTGTTGGTTCCTTTAAGAGCAGCATTCCTTGCAGAAGTGTCAGCAAGGTGATTCCCTTTAGCTTCCAGAGAGTCAAGTTTAGAATGCTCCAGTATCTTAATAATAGCTAAAGTAGCAGGTAAATATATAGCCTCCAATCATTCATGAACATAAGGGCTGTTTTTAATTTTCTCTCTGCTGGAAGTAAGGAAGCCATATTGCTTCCAGAGCATTCCAAAATCATGAGCCACTCCAAGAATGTATTACTATAAATGTTCACAGTTTTGCCTTTGACTGGGGCGCAGGCCTGTGTGAGTATGCATAATTCCAGCTTGCTGGGCTATTGTAGCCAAAGGCAAAGGTGCTGCTTCAGTTACATCAAAGAGTGTTGATATTGCATATCCAGCACAATATTCACTGTTGTCACATAAGAACTATCAGTGAACCATGAAAAGTTGGCATTATTCAAATAAGTTTCCGCAGATCATCATGAGGAGTCAGGAGGTGACCTGTCAGTGTTAAGCAGTCATGAGAGATTTCATCCATAATGGAGAGGAGAAGAGTAGCTGGCTTATTAGAATATGAAGGAGTCATGTGAGGAGCAGTTAGCAATAGGATTTCATAGGAGCTGAAGTGGCTGACTGGAAAATGTTGAGTGTCATGAGAATTCAGGAGAGCTTCCACTACATGAGCTATGAAGATGGTTCAAGAGGATCTCACAATTATTTCCGTGGTGTCCTTAACCAAAAGGGCAGTTGTGGTAACAGCTTTAAGGCAAAGTGGCTATCGCTGCGTCACAGGGTCCAGTTGGCTATAATACCCTATGGGGTGGATGGTGGTCCTCGCATTTTGGGGTGAGTATCCCAAGGGTATTCCTTTCCTTTTCATATACAAAAAGGAAAAAGGGAAGCTGATAATTGGGATGCCCAAGGGCAGGGCGGTTCATTAAACCCTCCTTTAAGGCTTTAAAGGCTATGTCATCTTGTTCTTCCCATAAAATTCGGTCAGGGTTGTTGTTCTTCAGTAAAACACACAGAGGTGTGGCCAAAAGAGAGAGATTTGGAATCCAATTTCAACAATAACCAGCTAGCCCGAGAAAACCTTGCAGGTGATGCTTAGTTTTGGGTTTTGGGAAATTTAGGATACCATGAAGCCTATTTGGATCTAAATGTAGCCCTTGTTCTGATACCAGATGCCCTAAAAATTGAACCTGGGTTTGGGCAAACTGCAGTTTCTCCTTGGCAACCTTTGTGTCCTTTTAAGGCTAAAAGCTTTAGCACATGGATGCTCTCTTCCTGTGAGGTTTGGGAGGGAGAGCAAAGAAGCAGACTGTCCACATACTGCAACAAAGTAGAGCCCCTAGGAAACCGTGTATCAGCCGGGTCAACCTTCAGGATTTGTGAAAGATAAGGACTCTCAGTAAAACCCTGAGGGATTACTGTTCAGGTGAATTGTTTTCCTTCCCAAATGAAGGCAAAAGGTATTGGCTAGCTTCATCAACTGGAATACCAAAGGACACACTGCATCAAACAATTACAGTAAAGAAGTTGCTTTCAGTTGGGACAGATGTTCAATTAAGTAGGGGTGGAGATGACAGGGGAATGGGAACCAAAGAACAAATGAGTCGCTCTATCAGCCTGGTCATCTGAAGCACGCCAGAGCTGGGCATTCTTGTGTTCCCCGCTTTGCCTGTTTTTCAGCAGGACGCAGGAACCCCTGTGGGGGAAAACTTATCGAGCTGCATATATCTAGAGGTTTATTTTTCAAAGGCTGACCAAGAAATCCATTTTGCCACCAATCAATAAATACAATGCAATTTCCCAAAGCTCAGTTTACAAAGAAGGAAATTTAATAAGTAGCTGAAGATACTCCTGATTGAACCCATAGGTTCTGTGAGTAGACTCATGGAATTCTGAAGAGGTGGTACCTGGTAACCAATGTAAACAGCTTTGGAACCTAGGAAACTAAGTAAAGTTAAGATGGAGAACCTTGCTTCCTGTTGAAGACCTTGTTGTGAGAGGTCATTTCGAAGGTAATTTCAAAACTGCTGCTTTTCCAATATCTGAAGTGAGCTTACTAGCATCAGCTGAGTGATGAGAGGCAGCCTGAAGTAGTTGAAAACATTTGGGATTAGGTGTCAAAGAGTCAATACTGCTTCTGGTTCTAACCAGTACTATGACCTTAGTCATGTCTCTCTTCTCTGGGCCTCGGTTTTTAAATCTGTAAGACAAAAGAGTTGGAAAGATCTTCTTTATGTCAGTTTCCAAAGTAATCTCAGAAGAGAGCAGTATATCTGTGTGAGTGCAAGGCAAAGGATGGGAATTAGAAAGTGGAGGGAAAAAAGTGAAGGGAAGTTTCTGATGAGAAAGAGGCAGCAAGAGAGGGATTTGAAACAAGCCAGGTGAAGAGGCTAGGTTCCCTCATCTCGCTCTGCCCACTAACCAAGTTTCCTTCACACATCACACAGATACCTCTTGGGGCTGCGCTTTCTCTAAATGTAATGTGCACAAAAACCTCTGAGAGCTTGTTAAAATGAGGATTTGCAGCCTACGGAACGAACATTCTGGGGCGCAGGATACAGGAATCTGCATTTTAACATGCTCCGTAGGTGATCTTGATGCAGAAGGTCCCTTTAACCATATCTAACAAACACCATCCCAGAAGCTGACTGTCCCCTCTTGGGCCCTACCTCAGAACTTCAGAATCTGTGAGTAGAGGTGAGACTGTATTACTTTTTAAAAGCTCGCAGAAGATACTGTGCTAAGATTTATTGCTTTTTAGCCTTTTCTTCTGTGGCAGTTTCTACTGGTTTAATAACAGAAGGGAAACAGCAAGATATTACTCCTTTTAGCATGCATTATTCAGCCCACTTCAACTATTTTTGCAGAATAAAGGTACCAGGCCAGGGGGTGAGGATAGGGGACTGGAAAGGTGAGTAGAAGAGTGGAACTCAATTTGGAACCTCTGGGATATTGCCCATTTTGAGTCTGGATTCTTCTGTCAGGTTTTAACTGGAGGCCTGTGGCCTAACCACAACTTCACTCTTGCCTGTCTAGGCAAGTTCCCAGCAGTGCAGAGATCATGCTGGTGGTTGTTGCTTACCAGACTGCAGGGCCTGGGCTATAGTTACGCCAGGTTTGAATAACTGTAGGATGCCATTTATTCAATTTTTTATGCTGTCAGTGCACAAAAGCACCTGGGACCCACCAATCTGCTTTTGGTTCTTAAGGGCTGTTTGCTGGGAGAGGACCCCTGCCTCCGTGCTGGTCCAGGTAATATTTAAGTTTGGATACTATGGAGGCTCCAAACTGCATTCGTAAGTCTCTTGTTCCCTCTCTATACACCTTCTCTTTTCATTGCCTAGGGCCCCAGTATTCCTAAACTGTTCCCTAAGTGCCCACTGCATCTAACTGTGGGACCCCAGAGACTTGCCTTCTAAGGACAATAGTCCATGCTCTAAGTCAACAATAACAATTCCTCGTAGTAATACTTTGCAGCTTGCAAAGTACTTTCACACATGTTCCCTGATTTTGAGCTTCATATCAATAGTAAATTAGAACAGGTATCCGACTCTATTTTCACATTGGCAAACTGAGGCAAACTGGGGGTATTAAATCATTTGCCGAAGGTAACATGGCTGGGAAGTACAGAACCGGGTCTTATACTTTCTTCTGACTCTAAGTCCATGCAGGACAAGCCTCTTTTGATTAAACCTTACAATATTTTGTCCTGTCCCCATTCCTTTTCAAAACATATCTAGTGCGGCCGGCCCGGTGGCTCAGTGGTTAGGTTCACGCGCTCTGCTTTGGCAGCCCAGGGTTTTGCTGGTTTGGATTCTGGGCGAGGACATGGCACGCTCATCAGGCCATGCTGAGGCAGCGTCCCACATAGCACAACTAGAAGGACCCACAACTAGAATATACAACTATGTACTGGGGGCTTTGGGGAGAAGAAAAACAAAACAAATCTATCGTGTGAAGTTTCCTCCCTTTTCAACAAGCCATCATATTAGATGATAATAATTAGTCCTTGAGAATTTATAATAACTGATAATGATAATATGGTATTCTTTCTGGGACACGGGAATTGTAACCAAAGATTCTGTATGTCACAAGCTAAAGGACATATGTCTGGGGACACCCAAAATCATTCTACATAGGCAGTCATCTTGTGGAGAAACCAGTCTTCAATCCATTTTTCAAGTGTTTAGGATCAAAATGCCCTCTGCCTTGGGAGCAAGATACTGCCACTCTGGTATGGTAAGAATAAAGTGTTCTATTAGGCAACACACAAGATAGGAGAACACAAACATAGTTTTCATCTAACAGTTCATTTTCGACCAGTGAGAGCAGGCACTGTTCCAGGAAAAATATCACCTTGTGACCAGCCTCTACCCTTGCCCTAATTTTTTTAGTCTAACTTTTTAAATACACAGTGACCTTGTGGCCATACTGGCTTCATGGTTGTGAAGAGATGGAACAACCAAATTTAGTCTTATGTGCAAAAAATCCTGGAGGGATATCATATTAATCATGTGTCACTTAATGAGGTTATTAATTCTGGCCTAGTGACATCTAGATAAAAGCTGACCTTTAACAAAAAGAAACACACCAAGAGGTCAGATTTATTACACGGAAGACAGTGGAATAAATCAAGCCCTAAGGAGAGCAGGGACTGTGCTGGGTGTTATTCAGGAAAGAGAAATGAGTCACACCTGGACTAAGGGGCACATTGTGTACAGGGCAGAGAAGGCAGGAGTTGGCACTAAGAGCAAGAGGACACAGAATAATGGTTTCACCTTCATCCTTGCACATAAGGAGGCCCACGTGCACCTGGGAATGGCAAGGCCAACACAGTGAGTGGTGGGAGTGGAGCCTGTGCCAAGGCCAGAGTGGCACAGAGGCTAAGTGCTCCAGAGCTGGAATCTGGCAGCTGGGTTTGAAGCCTCACTCTTCTACTGATGGCCTACATGATCTACCTACCACTCTGAGCCTCAGCTTCTTCTCATAGGAAATAAAGACCATAATATCGTCCCTATGCAAAGCCCTTAGCAAAGTAGTCCATAATTGTCAATTATCATTATTAGGCTAAGGAAGTGCTTCAGAAGGAAAATTTTTTAAAAAGCACTAAATCTAGGCATTTGTACTCTACAGTGTTTTCCATGCTAGCTAAAACCTGGAAACAGCTTGCCCAATAATTAAGGAAGAGCTAAGGTGATTTACCTACTTGATAAAATATTCTGCAGCTGTTAAACATTCTAACAATGAAGACTTATGTAGCAATATGGAAAAATACTGTGTGATTCTTGAGGAGAGCAGAGACAGGAGACAGGGTCCTTGGGTGGTGCCGTTAGAGAACCAAATATTTAACAATGTGAGGTGTCATAGGATTAAAAGTTAAAATAACTGGTATAGTACAAGCGATTTATAAATTCGTGCATGACACGAAGGCCTGGATAGGTCAGGAAAGAGGGAGCAGGCAGGAATTGAGCTGGGCCTGGAAGAATGGATAGAATTTGTGTCAAGTATGGAAGAAAGGCTATTTCATGTTGAGGACACACAAGGAAGCTCCACTCTGTGGAGGGAGGAATACTCAGAAAAGAGCTAGGAGACTCGAGAGTTTATATGTCAGGACAAGGTCATAACTGGGGTCACACCAATGGAGAACCCTGAAGGCCAGGCTGAGTTGTCTGAACTTTATGCTATAAGCCTTTTGAACAGAGAGAAAGCAACGTTTGAGGAAAAACAGGAAGATGGGATACTGTTGAAAAGCAGTAGCCCCTCAAAAGGAGATGAGGGGGTGAGCTTTGGAGACAAGTGTGAGAACTGGAAGCAAGGGTCTAATATAAAGAATACTTAGAACGTTGCGCCATTTCTTTCCTTTATCCTTCTAATTCACAGGGCTTCCCCCACCCCATCTTCTTCCAAGTTCTTTTCTTTCTGTACTACTTTGGGCCGCCAATTTCTGCTGACCTAGAACTCTCACCAGTTCCTCCCATTCCCTTAACAGGTGCCTGGCCACCCCTCCAGGCCTTGCCTCTGGACCAGGCAATGTGGAAGGAAGCATTTGCTGGGAAACAATGACCAAGACCCAAAAGGGAAAGACTTTTCTCTCCCACCGTTTCCAGCAGTCACTCCCCCCACGGCTGGGATGGGGCTTGATTTTCTCTTACTTAAAACCAAGAAACAAGGAGGAGTGCACCTCCGTCTCCGGTGTGCCTCCAGTCTTCCACTTCAGCCCTCAGCACTGTGCACACCTCAAGAGCCAATATTTGAAAAAGGCCGCAACGAACCTTACCTTCTCTCAGGAGGTGGTGTGGCAGCGAGGGCTGCCCAGCATTTCTTATAGCCAGTACAGCTTTGACCATCTCTACAATGTACACAACATCATCCAGCCTCCTCAGATGAGGAGGGCCCGACCTCAGAAATCCATCAGCTTCAAGTTCTTGGATTCTTCAGGTCCCTCAGCAAGGGTCACCTTCCAGGCTGTGAGGACAGAAAGCTCTGCCAATCTTAAGAAGAAGCTGAAGGAAGCAGAGCCAGCAAGCTTAGTCCAGGAAACATCTTGCCCTCTCATTCTTCAATCCTGTAGGGATCCAGACACGCTACGTCTGTCACTTTCTCCAGATGTGAACCTGGAGGACAGGGAAGCCTGGCTTCCGCCGGCTGAGAAGGAGGCCAGAGCCTGGGAGGCCGTTGTGCTGGAAAAGCTGAACAAGCGCACTGCCCGATGGATCCAGAACAAGCGTCCTCTAAGGTCTGGTGTGTCCCCCAACAAGTGGCAGAGCTTCTTGCGCCAGCAGTATGACTGGAGTCACATCCGGGATGAGCTCACTTCTGACAGCGACCTGGAGCTCTTGAAACAGCTAGAGGAAGAAGAGACAGCAGAATTTGAGGGTCAAACTGTCATCCTGCCCACCCAGGAAAATAAGAAGCCAGAACTGCTGCTTCCTGTTTATTACAGGTAGACTTGCTGGGGCCTCAGGCATGCCTTTGAGAATCAAGGACTCCCAGGTGGGCTCACACTCCTTACTTCAGAATGCACTTTCCCATCACCCTCTAGTGTTTTTCACTGCCAGTCTGCTCTCTAAGATCTCTGTAAAATAGGTGTCTCAACCTTAGCACTACTGACATCCTGGGCTGGATAATTGTTTGTTGTGGGGGGCTGCCCTGTGCATTGTAGGATGGCATCCCACTGGACGCCAGTGCACTCTCCAGTTGTGACAACCAAAGATGTCTCCAGACATTGACACATGTGCCCTTGAGGGACAAAATCGCTCCCAGTTGAGAACCACTGCCTTTAAAGGGATTGGTTCTCGGCCTTTCCCAGCAGACTGAGCTATTCTGCTGATCCAGTTACTATCCAGGTGCTCCCAGACATGTATCCATGGTCAGAGTAAGGAAGGCATACCTCATGGCTCTGAGGTTTGGTCCTGCCTCACTTTAAATAAGGAGCCAGTGTGTCACTGACTAGCAGCAAGACAGAGAACTAAACAACCTGAGAGGAGAGGACTACTGTGCATTTCTCAGATTGCTTCCTTCTCATTTTTAGCTAGAGGGAAGACTGGAGCTATTATAATATCCCTGATTCTGAAAAGTAGACTAAAAATAAGTGGAAACCCATTTATTTATTCCTTTATTAGACAAATATAAATTGCATTCCCACTACTTTCCAGGTACTCTGTGAAGTGCTAGGAATACAATGTAAATGAGACAGACATGGACCTATCCTTTAAGAAGCTTACAGGAATGTAAATAACCACACACATAAAAGATACAGTGAGTTAACGTAGGAAGCGGCTTCCCTTCCCTAAGTCCATGCAACCTCTAAAGGCACCAATGTTAAAAAAAAAAAGGTCATGCCGGGAGCATGGCCACTCTTTCCTGCCATCCAGTGACTGCAGGAGTGGCTCCACTAGGAGAGGGAGATGGTGGCTACAGACAGACCCTCCTGGAAGCTCCACATTCACCGTGGGGGCAAGGCCAACAGTTAAACACAGGTGCTTTTTAGATGCTTATGTGTGTATGAGCTGAGCTTAGAGAGGAAAGGGAGTGAGCTATGGATCTGATGGAAAAGGAGAGGTCCATCTCCTACATTTCCCCCCTTTTCTCCCTCTCTCACTCCTGCCAAGATTGCCCAATTACTTGCCACAAGTGCAGACTATTGAAACCATGCCTGACAATAATATCGCTGAGGATATCAGTGGAAAGAGGAGCATCTGCCAGCCCCGAAACCAGAGCTACTTCCGACAAGTAAATTCCCGAGCTGGAAAGTTTGCTTACTCCACAGACAACACCTTTGAACAGGAGATTTACTTTGGTAATAGAGCTGGGGCCCTGTGGTGGGGGCTGAGGTGGACACGGAGCAGGGAGTGGAAGGTAGCTGGGGGATGACACATTTGTGGGTGTGGATGAGAGGCCCTGGATGACCCTGGTGTTCATGGCACCATCCCCTGGTCACCAGCACGGGAGTTTGTGGGTTTTGTTTAGGGGGTGGGGGGAGGTATCTGTTGGGGAAGAAACTATTCTTCTTCTTCCCCCTTTCTCTATCCCTCTGGATTACTAAGGAGGCCGTGGAGGATGGGACTGTCAAGGAAGCAAGACTTGGCTTTGGGAATAACCTCCCTCTTCTTTGTATACCCTCCCCCTTTGCTCACTTTGACGTATTCCCCCATTGAGGTACTATGCTGGAAAAAATCACAGGCTTTGCAGTCAGGCTGATCTGAGTTTAAATCCTGGCTTAGCCCCTTCGTACTAACTTTCAGCAAATTATATAATCCCTCTGAGCCTTATGTACCTTATTTGTAAAACAACATTAACAAAAATATACTTCAAGAGTAGATGAGAAAGCATCTATAACTCTTCTTGCCCAATGCCCAGTATGTCCACTACTTTCCCCTCCCATCTTACTATCCTTTAGTTGCCTGGGCTTCCAGGATACCCAATCTAGGTCTGCATGTTCCAAGTTGTTTATTATTCCCGACTCCCATCCTGTTCCTAAACTGCTGTCAACTCAAAGTCTTCTTAAGATGTTTCACAAAATTATTCAGATGAAGGAATTTATGACTGATAAGAGACGAATTAGGTACCCCTTCATTAGTATCTAGCTTTCCAGAGGGGCAGTGCCTGTAAGTTAGACAGGTGCTGCCTTGGCTTCCAGGCCTCAGGCCACCAGCTCATTATTTCCTAGCAACAGTCACCTTCAAGGGATGTTCCCATAGCATGGGAGTTATGAGTCCAAGGAGCTTAGAGTAGAGCAAAATGTAATTGAGTCTGATCCTGGTGACTGAAAACCCAGGAAGAAAGGAAGGAGGGAGGTGCTGGGGACTCATTTCTTTATCTTTATTGCAGATAAAGTCCAGGTCATCCACAAGATTGGTGCAAAGAGAGACCAAATTTTCCTGGAAAACCTCAATCGGTATGACAAGCAGCTATGTACGGTCTTCCCTCAAAGCCCAGAAAGGTGGACTTCCCAGCCAGTTCCTGAAGCACGTAAGCAGGAAGCTGAGAATGGGGGTAAAGATGGAAGTGTGGCTATTTCTCTCAGGCCCGTTTCATAGGCTGAGGCACCACCAGCATCTAGGGGAGTCCCTTCCTACCGACTACAAATCATGTCATAAAATTATAAAATACTAACTGTAACTAGGAAAAGCCTTTGGGGAGCATCCATTCAGTTGAAATCAGATAAAACTTAGGTGTAACTCAGTGGTTTAGGACCAGTAATTACCAATAAGGCAGAGCCCATCTTAATGCTTCCAGAGAAGTACATCAAACCCCTGATTCAACACTCTGCCCTATTCCTTTGGGTTGGCTCTACCCCACCAGCTCCATTCTCAGGCCCATACCTGCCTCAGGCCCTAGGGTGATCCTGTGTTGTAAGTTTCCATTTCACAAGTACATCATTTTTCATTCTGTAAGACAGATAAGGAAGATAATCAAGAAACGAGCTTGTGAAACAAAAAGTGCCCATCCCTCCAAGAGGGTATGTCTCCATTTCCCATGACTCTTTCTTTGCAGTGTCACTGTGTAGATGGGCCCCCTGGTATGCAGAAACAAGCAGCAGTAATGACCCATTCTTTTTCCTACCAGCCCCAAACCTCTGTATCTAGTGCTGCCTGGCTAGGCAATTGCCATTAGAGTAGAAGAGGTGCTAATGATGGCAGCTTCCCCAAAACTCACACCCGCTCATTCTTTGCTGAGGACCACCTTTATAAAGCAGTGGAGAAGGCACCCCAGCAAAGCCTTGGGTTGGGTCTTGGCAAGTCACCTTCTGGGGTTTCCATTGCTTCATTAAAACTGAGACTAATCATTCCTACAGCGAGGCACTTTTGGGATACTTACTGACACTTAGGTGATTTTGTGAATATGTTTTATAAACCATTAAGTGCCATACAAACTCAAGGCATTTTTAGTAACATACTACTTTCCCCACAAGCCAACTCAACTCTGCATGTCCTCTCCTCTGACAATAGGCAAATCCACAGAGACAGAATGTCGATCAGTGGTTTCCGGGGGGAGAGAGGAATAGGTATGTGGTTTCTTTTGGAGGTGATGAAAATATTCTAAAATTAGATAGTGGTGATAGTTGCACAACTCTGTGAATATACTAAAAACCACTGAACTGCATATACTTTAGAAGGATGAGTTTTATAATATGTGATTTCTACCCCAATAAAGCTTTTATTAAAAAAAAACTACTCTGAGGATCCTACTGCATTCACGGAAGCTTCCCCACCCATCTCACCTGCTTCACAGGCACTTCCCCCCGTGGTGCCGGATACCTGCCCTCTTTTTCTCCAGAACACAGAACATTTAATGAACTGATGCTGCAGGGTTTTTCAAACTCTTTTTGAAAATAGTATTTGAAATTAATCTGGGGGAAGTAAAGTCAAAATAGTAATATACACATACCTTCTTATAACCATTTTATTCATCATCTCATCTTAAGAAATATTAGTATGTAAGAACCTGGAAAAAACAGGAAAATTCCTGGGGTTAGATGTGGGTAGATTTTTTTCCTCTCCATTTTGATTAAATTGAAACACTTAGATGGTGATTTAAAATGATGAAACTTCTCAAGATACAAAGTGTACTTATTACTAAATAGCCTTTAATTTCCCCCAAATCATGACATTAAACTCTCTAGTGTGCCCAGAACATGATTACAGTTCCTGTATGCCAAGCATGGGGTTTTATGGTACAAGTCACAAAGGCACCGTTTGTTTCTGCCAACAAAGTGTACTGACCTTTTGTCCCACAGAAAATCAAAGAATTGTTCCCTTTTTTTTAAAAGATTTTATTTTTCGTTTTTCTCCCCAAAGCCCCCCGGTACACAATTGTATATTTTTAGTTGTGGGTCCTTCTAGTTGTGGCATGTGGGATGCCACCTCAGCACAGCTTGATGAGCGGCGCCATGTCCACACCCAGGATTTGAACCTGCAAAACCCTGGGCCGCCGAAGCACAGCACACGAACTTAACCACTCAGCCACGGGGCCGGCCCCAAGAGTTGTTTCTTTGTGTGCTCCCTTTAGATAAATCTGGACATGGAAGGGGGTTAGTGGATGTGTTCCTACCTCCCTAGAACTCAAAATACTGGAAGTAAAATAAATGTTGCCACTTCCACAGAGGTTAAATATCAGGGATTCAGGACTTCCTCACCACATCCATTTTAACACTCTGAGCAGGGGGATATAGGAAGAGAGGGGTTAACTCAGCTACTTCTCACTTCCTTCGGAGGGATTTCAAGCAGGCTGAAAGGAGAGAAGTGAGGGAGTGTCTGTGTCCACTCACTGGTAGCTGACCTGTCTGGAGGTGGTTCCACGGCTTGTGGCTGCACACATCCTCCCCTGCAAAGAAAGAGGCCCTCAGCAGGGTGACTGGGTTCTCCCAGCACCACCAAGCCGGGTGAGGACCATTTCGGGGCTACACTCTGTATGGGCATCTGGGCTAAACTGCCCTGGAGTCTCATGGGACTCTTTCTACACAGGAAGAAAGAAATGGTATTGCCCTCCTTGCTCAAAGGAAAGAACTAAGAACAAATCTAAACGTGTTGGAGTTAGAATGAAATCTTTGAAGAAAAAGAAATGGTTGATAGTGACAGATTAGAATGTGAGACTGATAAGCAATGTGGCAAATAATGAATTTAGTAATCTGGAAATATTTTTATATTTTGCCTTCTCCACACAACTACTCTTCTGAGAAAGAGGCTTTCTGGATCTGACACTAGGGAGAACATTAAGTCTAGAAAACATAAACTATTTTTCTATAACAACCATATAAATCTCTATTTATATATTTTCTTCTGTTCTCAAATTTCCAACTGTTATTTGTCATAATTAAAAAAAAACCTCAGGAGCCGGCCCAGTGGTGTAGGGATTGGGTTCATGCACTCTGTTTCGGTGACCCAGGGTTCATGGGTTCAGATCCTGCAAGCAGAGCTACACACCAAACATCAAGCCAGGCTGTGGTGGCATCCCACAAAGTAGAGGAAGACTGGCACAGATGTTAGCTCAGGGGCAATCTTTCTCAAACACAAAGAGGAAGATTGGCAACAGATGTTAGCTCAGGGCCAATCTTCCTCACCAAAATAAAAGAAAAACTCAGAGATGCTAAAATCTTTAAAATTTAGCAGCTGGTAGCACCATTCCTTCTCTCAAATTAAAAACTTAAAAAATTAGGAATTAATGGCCAATTATACTCTACTTTAAATTGCAATATATCAAATAATTGAATTTTATGAGCAAACCTTGTTATATATAAACATATTCATGTTCCTAAAGATTCATTAAACTTATAAAAACGTTTGTATCTATCTCAGTTTTTCTCCCCATTATCATGGCTTTATCATGTCTGTAGTCAGGACTTTTCCTAACTCCCTATGGAACTTGTACTCAGTTCCCTATATAATCACGGGAAAGTTCTCTTGAGATTTGTTTTGTCTTGGTGTTTGTCAGGAACAGGAATGTGGTGCTAGCTGGGAACACTGGGCCTAGAGCCGTGGGGAGAAATATCTCATACTGCCATACTGCACAGCTTGTAGGCCTGTGAAAGGGGCCCCGCGCTGGACTGCTTTGCCCACCCCAGCCAAGGATCTGCTGCTGCAGGCGGGTGAAGAGGACGCGCCCATTAAGACCAGGAGACCCAAGAAGCTGTCAAAATCACTGAAGGAGGACGTGACTTGGGAACTGGTGGTCCTGCAGAGGATGCTGCAGGAATGGAAGACTGCCTGGGCCCGAAGTGAGTGAAGGGGGCGGGTTCCCGATGTATCAGTGTGTATTTGTGAGGGAGGAGTCCTCACCTTGGAGCAGCTTTTCTCAATCTTTGAAAATCATCCCTATCTTATGAAACATAACAATCTGGGGCAGAGTAAGGGCCTAGCAAGGACTGTTGAAAGCCACAAGATTTGAGGGTTCAAGGGCTGCTGGCTTTCTGAAAATGAGAGACTAGTGTAGTTAGTGCAGGAAAAACAGAAGCAACCCATCACATAAACTGGATCAGATACACAAAAATGGGTTGAAAAAGAGATTCTGAGTAAAAGCTACTAGTAGGGAGCAACTACAGATGATGGGAGCACTCAAATAAAGGCTTGATACCTGCAAAGAGAGCAGTTAGCAATAAAATAAGGGAGACCTTGAAAGCCAGATGGCAAGAGCCTTCAAAGGAAAGGAAACCTATTGATAACCACAATCATTAACATTTGAGCCCTTATCTTGTCAGGCATTTTGCTAAACACTTCGTCTAGTTAATTCATTTAATACTCAAAGCAACTCTGTATGGTAGATTCTAGTATTGTTCTCATTTTACAAATGACAAACCTCAAGCTCAGAGAGCTTACGTAACTTATCCAAGGTCACACAGCTAATAACTGTGATTCCAAACCAGGTATATCTGACAACACAGTATCCTTAACCACTATGATTTATTGCCCCTTTTTATTTTCCAGATGGTAACAATGAAGAGTTATTTAAGCAAAGAGAGATAGGATATAGGATGGGACTGGGGAGGGTTTTGTTTGGGAACTGCCCAAGAGGGTACCTGGATCATCAGAGAAATAACTTCCATGGGGTCCTTTATTCTTCTGAGCTAATGTTTTGCTTGAATTGTCCTGAAGGGAAGGGAACTTCTTGTCACCTACCTGCAGCACAACATACCCCTAACCAGGCGGTTCTCTTCTCATTTCCCTCCCTGCGGCACAGTCATTGAGTGGCACCATGAGACAGCAGAGGGCCTGCTGCGGAGCTTGGGGGACATGCATGATGACACCCGAATCCAAGCCATCCTCACATGTGCCACAGCGGCTTTAGAACGGCCCCGGACTGTCACCAGCCAGGGGGACTCAGGTGAGAGCCAGAATGAACTGCTTGAGGATAGCAACAACTCACAGAGCCGTAGAAAATGTGAACTGGTGGGGACCCTGGAGCTTATCTGAGATCCTTTTACAAATGTGAAAACCAAGACCCAGAGACTGGCCTGAATATATACAGTTTATTAGCAATAGAGATGAGATTAAAATTCCTGACTTCTGGTCCAGTGCCTTTTACACTACACTCCATTACCTTTCAGACCCAACTGTAATAGCCAAAAATTATATATATGTAAATATATATATATTTGAAATATATATTTGAACGCTGTATATACACACTTTCCTCCCAACTCCATTTTAGCCTTAACTTCTTTTGACAGCACACCTCAAAGTGAACATGTCCCATACTGAAGTCATTGCCCTCTCCGTAGACCCCTCTCCACATTCCACGTCTCAATCCGCAGCCCCAAAATCCATCCCATTTCCAGTCAGGACCCTGCGTCATCCTGGACAAGTCCTTCCTTTCCCCACAACCAACTGACCAATAAATCCTACTGATTCTACCTCCTAAATATCCTTTCTTAATTACAAGAGAAATATAAAGCGTCATTATCAGTCAACACGGAGGAATATAAAAAGAAGTAATTACCTTCCCACCCCCACACCACTCCCCAGGGTAAGCTATGTTTAGCTGGGCATTCCACAACTCTCTCTCTGCTTTTACAAACATATGCCAACATGTATGTTGGCTTTTCTATTAATTACAAAAATGACTGTTGAATTTTCATCAGCCATTTTCTAGCTTTTTCTCCCTTAATTTGTGGTTATGATGAATTCTGCTGTTAAATTCTTAAAATAAATCCCAATGATGATGATATAGTATTCTTTTTTTACTCCAATGGGTTTGAGTTAATATTTTAGAATGTTTAACTACATTTGTAAATGAAATTGGTAGTTTTGTTTTTATTTACACTATCTTTTAGTTTTTGCTACCTTTGTAAAATGAATTAAGGACTTGGCCATTTTTTCCAATGGTCTGTAATCTTTTGAAAAAGAAATGTCAATAGCTTTTTTCTTTACTAGCAATAAGCAGTTAAAAAGGAAAATTTCCCATCTACAAAGGCCAGAACTATAACCTACTGAGGAGATGGTTGTTAAGACATAGGACCCAGAAGATGGAAACTATAAACTGCTCTTGAAAGAACATAAAACCGACAGTCTCTTAGCCCTCAAGTGCCCTCTCAGATTGACCTTTTATATGAAGCCCAGGCTGATACTTTTTCCTTCTCTGTTGCTGGTAGCATCCTAATATTAATCACTCTCTCATAACTGTCTGTTTACTTTCCCGCCATCCCTACCAGGCAAGGAACTCCTTAAGGGCGGGGAGTCATTCTACCTCTACAAAGTTGTCAGGTTTTTAAAGTTTCATTTGACTTATTTCTCGTCTATGGAGCTCCAGATTTGGGCATTTTTCCTCCAGGTCTTCAAATTTGTTGCTTCTCTGCTGGAAAATCCCTCCTCTCTCTCTTTACCTGATTAACTTCTATGCTTGCCATTCACTTTTCAGCTCAAGTGTCACCTCCTCTGAGGAGTCTTCCTTGCTCTCCCCCCCAGACTCGGTTCAGTGTCCCTGCTGTATGCTCCCACACATACATTTATTATAACTGCTTGTTTCCTTGGCTACTAAATGAGATGATGTATTTTCAGTGCCAGGATATAGAGAAAACCTTCAATAGGCAGCAACAGGTATTATTATAATCTTATCCCCAAATCTTCCACACACATACAAAGAACGCCTTTGTCTTCCCCTAGAATTGTGCCTTTCACGTGATCCCTTTCACATGTCCTGGTTGATTCAATTTTGATTTGTCTTATTTCCTCCCTACACCTCACCCCAAAAAGTCCTTATTATTTCTTGAAATACTGAACTGACTTCTATCTATTGCCCAGAAATACACATATTTCCATCTAACCCGTTCTTAACAGATGCCATAGCAGCCCCCATTGTTAGTAAAAAGGACAGATTAAAAATCCTAAAATCACAGTCACAGGTCCAATCTGCTGACTCCTTGGTAAGTCAGCTAGCCTCTCTGAGCTTCAAATTCTTTATCCACAAAATGAGAATAGTTATGGACAAAAGGTTAGGAAAACCTTTGCCCTTTCTACTTGAGAATTTGAGCTTTAAATGCCTACCCGTGGCCCTGATAACCTGATAAGGACAGGAACTATCTTTAAAGGCAGCATCACTTATGATAAAAATGAACCCTGAATGATACATTTGGACTGGGAAGAACTGTAAGTGAAATATGAATACTTGAAGGCAGCACCATCCTTTGGGTTTCCATGAATGCTGTGAATGATAACAGGCATGCTCTTTGTGGACTCTGGAAATATATCTATGGCGTTGTTAAAAAAGAGATACCAACTCCGTGAAACATAAGACTTGTTCCCAGAGTGGATTCTATGTTCCTGAGCTGTCCCCAGCAGGCTCTGTGGAATGCTATTCAAAATGCCTCAAGAACTGGCCGAAAGGAATGCCTGGGGCTGCCCTGTTGGCAAACTGTGCTCCCACCCTGCATCCTTCTGAAGACTGTGCCATGTGTGGTCTATGATGGTCTTGTGAGTCTGTTTAGTTAAAACTAAGACTCCTGAAATACACATATTTCAGGTGAGCTCTGCAGTAACACCTGGCTTGCCTACTTCAATGAGGGCTGGAAGACTGAATGCAATAATATGAAAACACTATATAGATGGCAAAGCACTACGTAAATATAATTGCTATTATTAAAAATACAAAAATATATAGGGTAAAGAGGTTGATTTTCATCACTAAAACTAATGGTGAAGGTTGCAATAGCCTAGCTGGAAACATTCTTTTTTGGCTTGAATACAGCTCTTTAGAAGCCAGAAGACAAAGGATTGGGAAGTGGGATACCCAGCACAGAAGTGAACCATAAAATCCTGCCCATTGCAGGGGCTCAGCTAAACTCTAATTACATTAAGTAGCAGGAATCACCTGCAACTGAGACTGAGGTTGGCCACGGGAAGGACGCTGTGTTTCAGAGAAAAGCCAAGGGGCTACACCCTCTTACCTGGCTCTTTTGATCACAGACAAGGAGCCCGTGAAAGCCCCGCCTATCCAGGACTTGCCAGAGGTTCTACAGCCCGCCCTGGAGGCTGCTCTTTGTGACAAGAATGAGCATGTGCGGATGGCAGCAGCAGTATGCCAATACGCCATACAGTCACATAATCCCGTTGCCCGGGACATCATGCAGACTGCCCTTTTGAAGGGTGAGTAAGGCCCTGTTATTTCTGACCAGGGAATATGGGGTAGAGCAAGGAAATCTCACCATCAGCCTTTCCTAATCCTTTCCTGTCCACAATCATGCTCTGTGATGTCTACTTTAGGTTTATGTTGAACAGAGCTTAGTTCTTCGTAGGCACTTTGACAAAATAGGTATACTGCTACCTAGTGGGACCTGGGCTAAGTGTTTCAGGTGCATGTGACTAGAAAACATGCCCCCTTGAATTCACACAACCAGATTTTCTTTTCAGTGAAAAGATGATGTAACAATATTAAAGAATACTTTCTGAAAATTAAAAAAATCACCACTTGAATACATCATGCTTCCATTTTTGCACAGTAACTTACAGGCATTGACCACATGCATTGTTGGAGTAATACAAGCAAAAGGGTCCTGTCAGGTGCCTGTCAGTTAGGCCCAAGAGGCCTGACTGTTCTCTCTGAAAGATGTGCCCGTTCCTTCCCTAGAGGCAGGGTGGTGGGTAGTGGGGTGGAGACAAAGACAGAGGGCTGACTGGTTTGGCCATCTGAATATAGACATTCAACCACTTAATTCATCTGTTTTAAAAAAGCCTTCACTCCAGACTTCCCAACCTCTAGGGGGAGGAAAAACTGTATCTCCCACCGAGGCCAGAAGCGCCTTACTGCTCTATTCCTAACAAGAGCCTTTTAGGATGAGACTTTTCAGTTAAGATTTTCAGTCTATATTTAAAACCTTGACATGATCCACTTAAATATGCTTTAAATATAGCATTGGATTTCTAGACTGAGAGGGGCACAAGGAAGTGAGTTATCAGGCAGGTAGCAGCCTTGGGTACCAACCTAAAGGCTGTTCTCTCTGTGGGGAGAAGAGATTGCCATTCTGGACTCCTTTTTTCATCCCACTGTGGCAGGTAATAGCGTGGACAGCTGGGCTGCAGCTCAGTGCTTGGCTCTGGAAGGTGCTGCCACTTACCCCGTGATTAAGAGGATCCTCCATCAGCTGTTTACCAAGAGGAATGAGGAAACTGAGCACCAGTCTTGTATGCTCCTGAGCCATCTCAGTGGGAAGACAGTATGTGCCTGTTTTAGAGTCAGAGAAAGAAACCAGATTTGGGGGAACAATTGGGTCTTTGAGGTCAGTGAATGTAAGGAATCAAAAAAGCAGGTGGCAGGGTAGGATGATCTCAAGCATAGGTGGAACTGGACTAAGTGTGGGTGAACGGGGGTGTATACAGGGAAGTGACAATAGTGAGCTAAGAGAAAGGTGAGAAAAGCAGGCTGCCGGTGGTTTCTAACTATATGCAAGAAGAGTTGTGATATGTAGAATTTGCTTCTGCCGGAAGTTTACCATTGAAAACTGCACAGACCTACCATTCTGTTTACTTTCAGCAGAAATGTGAAACCCAAAAAGATTGAGGCATATACAAATCATTTAGGGGTAAAGACAGTCAAGAAGAGAAGACCCCAGGAGTTTTCTGTTCAGATTACTAAATCTGTCTTGTTCCCTGATTTCTGATCCCAGAAGTCAGTTGGCTCAGATGGAAGAGTGCCTCATATCTTGTAAACCCACTCTCCTTTGCTAGAGATGGGCATCTCATGTACTTGTGACACTAATTATGCTGAACGCCATGTTAGGATGTCACTTCTTCAAGGTTCTAGCATCTCTAAAAGCAATTATGAATATTCACACAAGTCTTCCATTTCCTCAGACCCTGATACACACCCTGCTTGCCGTGGAGCTGAACAGCCGTCAATGGAAGGATCGGATTGTGGCCTGCCGGGCTGTCTCCCAGATCAGTGGAAGTGTCAGTTTGGTAAGCCTTCTCTTTCTGTGTTCCCAGGACAGAAAGTCTAAGCGAAGCCTGGGCTAGGGAGCCCTTCCACTTTTTGCTGCTATCTAGTATCCCATTCTTACCAAACAGACCTCTGTCCTTATATTGCTACTCTTACTCCTAAGTCAGAATTATCTTCAAATGCCATGTCTTTCTGCGACTTAAGCCACTGCTTCTCAGCATGGCAGCAGTCCACAAACACTTTTAACTCACCCACGAGGAAACAAGCAAAAAAACAAGAGAACGAGTTTAGAAACTTTTATAGTAATTTGATGTTGTTTCAGCATCAACGTATAAGTATCAGTCAATGACATTTCCCACCCCAAAAAACTGGTCCTGCATCACAGATAGTTTGAGCAGCACTGACTTAAACTACCCAACAACCCAACTATCCTAGTGTCTATACTGGCTCTCCTTGAGTGCTCAGCACACGCACAGAGAAAGTATAAAACACAGTCCCTACTTTCAAAAAACTGACATTATAGTTGGAGTACCAAGACTAACAAACAAGTGAGTCAAGAACAAGCGATAAATGTAAGGTACTTTCTTAACACCTTTCGGAGAGAGACTGATGAGGCTGAAGTCATCAGTTAAAGTTCTGTGAAGGAACCTGGGACAGCCGAGCAAGACTGGGACAGGACTGAAGAGGGACTTCCAGGCAAAGGGAACCGTGACCATCATTTAGGCCTTCACCTGACCTCCTTTTGCAATTACTTTTAAATCACCTTGAGCTGTCCACATGGGATTTTTGCCCTTCTTCCCATGTGCCACTATGTCTTTCCTTATAACAGTGAGTACCTGCAAAATGGCCCAGAACACTGCCACTCCCATGAGAAGTGAACACCCTCCACTCTTTGACCCTCACATTTTGGTGTGGAAAGCACAAAATCTGGCCATTTGGTATAATCACCTGAAGATGTTTTGGTCGTTAATTCTTCCTCAACTGCTATCGTACCCTGCTGCTAAAGTGCTGGACCAGCAACACAGGCATCACCTGGGAGCTTGTTAGAAGTGCAAAATCTCACCTCAGGTGAACTCAGTCAGAATCTGCTTTTTAACAGCCAATTCATGTGCACATTCACTGCCTTAGCACTTGTCACTTAGGATTGCCAACTGAAAGTAAAAATTACGATACGCAGAGCAAGCCGGGGATGGGGTACAAATGAGAACTCCACGTCAGACTGCTGGAATTAAGAGAGGCAGTATGTCCATCCATTCTTTCATCATTCAGTAAGCAAGCACTTCCTGACCACATCCTACACGCTAGGCACTATACTAGCATTGGGGATGTCAAGATAATATGGCCTCTCTCAGTAAATGTTATAAATAGCTGTAACAGAAGCCACTATGAGGTATTATAGAGATTTCCTGTGCTTACAGAGGGGAGAGGAGAGTTTACTGAGGAGATGCTTTTTGATCTAAATCCTAAAAGAAGAGTAGGAAAACAGCAGTTACCAGGTAAGGGTGGAAAAGGGAGATGTTTCAGGCCAGGAAAACAGATAGGGCATATTTACACAATCATCAGCTATAACTGTAGTAATCTTTGTCCTTCCCCTCTGAGAGAAGTACTGATATATAGGGTGGCCGCTGTTCCGGTTTGTCCAGGACACAGGACTTTTAATACTAAAACCAAGAAAGTCCCAGGTAAACTGAAATGAGTTGGTCACCCTATTAATGTATCACCTTCAAATTTTAAGTCTCTCAAACACAGATTGCACTGGTCCTCCAACATAGGATAGCAGTTTAAAGAATGAGCTTGGAGGACAGACCTGGGTCTGAGTCCTGGCTCCAGCACTCGACATATTAACCCTGGGCAAGTAAATCTAAGCCACCATTTTGTCATCTGTAAATGGGAATAATATCTGCCTCATTGGACTGTTCGGGAGGATTAGGTGATGGGTAAAAACACTCAACACATAGTACTCAGCCATAAAAACAGACAAAATTGTCCCATTTGCAACAACATTGATGGACCTTGAAGGCATGATGTTAAGCGAAATAAGCCAGCCAGAGAAAGACAAACACCGTATGATTTCACTCCTACGTGGAAAATAAACAAACACATGGACAAAGAGAACAGATTAGTGGTACCAGAGGGGAACGGGGTGCAGGGGTGGGCGGAAGTGTTAAAGGGAACATGTGTGGTGACAGATAAAAATTAGACTATTGGTGGGGCCAGCCCAGTGATGCAGCAGTTAAGTTTGCATGCTCTGCTTCAGTGGCCCGGATTTCGCTGGTTTGGATCCCGGGTGTAGACCTACGCATCGCTAATCAAGCCATGCTGTGGCAGGCGTCCCACATATAAAGTAGAGGAATATGGGCACAGATGTTAGCTCAGGGCCAATCTTCCTCAGCAAAGAGAGGAGTGGCGGCAGATGTTAGCTCAGGGCTAATCTTGCTAAAAAAAAAAAATTAGACTATTGGTGGTGAGCACAATGCAGTCTATAAGAAACTGAAAAATAATAATGTACACCTGAAATTACAGTTATAAACCATTATGACCTCAATAAAATAACTGGGAAAAAAAACATTTAGCGCAGTGCCAAGTACAAAACTGACGTTCAATAAATGGTAGCTCATTATTACACCTATTTATAGGATATGAAACATAAGTTGATCCAGCTGATGTTGAATGACTGGCATAAGGAAGTGAGACAAGCAGCTGCCCAAGCTCTGGGGCACAAGAGCCTTGGGAAGGAGGTGCATGACACAATCAGGTAAGACGTAGTCAACATGGAGAGAGAAACTTCTCTATTCTTACAAGTGTTCAGGCGGCCTGGGATCCAGCCTGCCAGCGTTTGGGTGAGCTGCCCTGTATTGTATGCTTATCATCGTACTAGGTCCCATTGCAGAATTATTTTAAAAAAATAAAATAGAAAGTTAACAGTCCCTACAGATGCTAACACTGTGGCTAAGGAAAGAATCACTGAGTGCCCACTAGATGTTAGGCACTGTTTTGGATGTTTAAGAGTTCAAAACTAGGACATGATTCTGATGATACAGGCATGATACACAAATGCCTAGTAAGGTCATGTTTGTGGAAGATGGCTAAGACTTCAGGCAGAGAGGAGAAGGGAAGACATTCCAGGCTGGGAGCCAAATGCAGAAATGAGCATGGCACATCTAAGGGCAGTGAAGAGAACTCGACTGTGTAAGAGGTGCATGTTGAATGTTTCCTTTATTCAGTCAAGATAGCTTAGTGCCTAGCATATGCTGGGTCATAGGGATTCAAGTAAACGAGAGAGTTGAGGTCTTTGCGCAGTGAAACTTAACCTAATGGGCATAAGGCTGACTAGGAAAGGGTGGGAATGAACAATAGAGAGCCTACAGAGGTTGGATTTTATCCTGAGGGCATTAGTGGGGTGGAGGGGGGCACCAAAAGTTTAAGGAGGGAAAATAAAAGCACCTGTGCCTTACAGAGTCAAGCTGAGTCAAGGAAATCCCCAGGAGCGTGTGGAAGCCCTCTCCCTGATTGGTAGGCTCAAGCTCATGACCGCCAAGCTTCTCCCAAGCTTCCTGAACTGCTTCTCTGATGACTTCATGGCAGTTCGACGGGCAGCCTGTTTGGCAGCAGGTGCCCTGCAGATCCGTGATGAGATGGTGAGTCAAGGAAACATGTTCCCATCTTACCTGATTAACCTGAAGAGGGCATTACCCTGAGCTTCCCTTGTTGTGCATAGAACACTCACCACTCTGTGGGGACACAGAATGAGAGATAAGAACCAGGAAGGTGAGGGGGTATAGAGGCCACATCAATCAGTGAGGACCACATTTAGCTCCCAGCCAGCCCAGACTTCACTCTAGAGCACATCCCTGAATCCTGTTCTCACCTTAGTTATGGGCTTTAGGATCAACTCGTGAATGGAGTTGTAATCCCTAGTTATTAGGGGAAAACCTGATGGAAGTGTTCAAAAGAAGCCTGTTGGCCATAGATCTGTGAGCTGACAAAATCAGTCTACAGATGAGATACTTCAGCTAATACACTGTGTGTGCAGGCTCCAGATCATTTGTCACTAGAACCAATAAAAAGTCATTTTTCGGTTCTAGTACATTTTAGAGACAAGAAGGGGCCCTGTCTCTGGTTCATTCTTGCTCTGGTCCTCTCTACTCAACAGTGCCTTTTATCCATCCCAGGTCCTTGAATGCCTTCTGAATCTGACACAGAGAGATCCTTACTGGAAAATCAAGGCCTTTGCCATTCGAGGTATTACAGAAAGATTGGCCCCAGCTCCTCAACCTCAAATACCTTCCTATATGCTAGTAGAGATGATCCCCAGAATCTCTCTAGGAAGTGGGTAGTGTGTTGGGGAGGATGATCACACCTTCTCAGAAGTTCCTTGCCTGAGAAATTAAAGATTATTATCTTCCTCTTTTTAATTTTTAGTGAAAGATCCCAAGTCTAGGTCTATCTCAAACTTACTAAGGCAAAGGGCTGACAAGACAGTCCCTGCCAACAGAATTAGGGAGAAGTTCCAAGGAGGTATCCACTGTTGGCTATGCCTGCTTTCTCTGGAGGTTTCCACTAGAGGACTCTGTAAAAGACCAGATTCAAGACTGCTACAGACCTAAAACCCTGCCCTCAGATTTTCCTAGAGTTTCTTTTTAAAGCATCCTTGGCATTGCTTCTCTCTCTGACAGTCTCTGGCAGGTCCCCAGCAGAACTGGCCCTAGATAAACCTGTGAAGTAATTGTGCCTCCTTTCCCCATCACCCTGCCTTGATTAGGCTGGTCTTCTGAGTTATCCATCCCATATCTCATCCCTAGATACATAGGTAAATCAGTGTATGCTCACATCCCAAGGATGGGATGGATCACCCCCTCCTAGGAATCTCCTTGGAGATAACATAACCCATCCCTAAAATTCTAATGGTGATTTGCATCCAAAAGGGAAGATACAGACAAAATACTTAGTTTAGCATTTGCAATACTTAATTTAGCAGGTGGTTGCCTACACCTTATTACTTATTAATAAGGCTATCTCTGGATGCTAGGATATAGCCGACTCAGTCTTAAGTGACAAAATTAAAAATTGTGCTGCCCTCTAATCTCTGCAGCTTTGGGACAGATTGGCCAAGTGAGTCCCCAAGTGACAGACCTTCTGCTCTGGGCCATCCACTATGAAGAGTCACCAGGTGTACGACTAGAAGCTTGCCGTAGCATCCTAGCCCTGAAACTTCAAGGAGACCGAGTCAGGGACACCTTCCTAGACGTGCTGCTCCTAGAGAACCACAATGCTGTTCTAAAGTAAGCACTAAACCTTTGGTTCTTGCCACAGCCTCTTGTACTGCCAACTCTCCCACCCGAGTTAGAATATATCCCTGCCTTTCCAGGCTGCCTAATGGCTGGAAAAGCACAGGCTCACTTGTGCCGTTCACCTGCTTACCCAAGTGGGTAACAGAAAAACTGGCCTAAATTAGATGCAAAGTCAAGCTCATGTAGTTCACGCGCCTGTTCTCCATCCCAGGTGGTTTTATCAGATGCCTACTGTGAGGACAGCCTTTAGAGTTAAAGACCACGGTTTGAATCCCAGCTCAGGCATGCGCTAGCTTTGTGAGCCTGGGTTAAGTTACTTAAACTCTCTGAGCCCATTTTTTCATGTATCAAATGCAGATGATAGTCTACCATATGGGTTTGTGGTGATGATTAATGAGACGACATGTTCAGTAACTGTCATAAAGGTGTTCAACAAATGGTATCTATTAGTATCTTCAAATACATCACCTCAAAAACTACACAACAGGGGCCGGCCCAGTGGCATAGTGGTTAGGTTCATGCAATCCACTTCAGTGGCCCAGGGTTTGCGGGTTCAGATCCCAGGCACAGACGTACACACTGCTCATCAAGCCATGCTGTGGCGGCATCCCACATACAAAATAGAGGAAGATTGGCACAGATGATAGCTTAGTGACAAAAAGAGGAAGATTGACAACAGATGTTATCTCAGGGCCAATCTTCCGCACCAAAAACAAAAACAAAACTACACAACATCCCTATAAGCTAAGCATCACACCCTTTTTGCAGCTAAGGCTCAGCAAAACCGCAGTTAGGATTGGAAATTTAGGATTCTTGTCTGACTCCGAGTTCTGTATTTGCCAACCCTGTGCCTTTTTTAAGGATAGGAAAAACCACCTAAGAAGTCCTTCTTATCTTTCAGAGAAATTCATCAGGCAATGAAGATACTTAACTTAGAAAATGAAGGAAACCAAGAAATGCTTCAGGAGATCAAGAACAGGGTAGATAAGTACAAGCTGTGTTTTCAGAGAAAATGCAGGGCTCTCCAGAGTTCCTCAGACCTTTCTTTTCCTCATGACAGACACAGCCTCATCTACATCCACGTCCACATCGCATCTAAACCTCAGACACAGATATCTCATTTGAAGATACAAAACATCCATCCAAGACAGGATTATAAATCCTATTAGTAAAAAGCCAAAACAAAAATCCTCTTAGCCCTATCAAGTAGCCCTCAAAATCAGGGTTTGTTGTTGTCAATTGTTGTTTCTGAAATACTGTTCCATTCCTTTCCATTTTCTCCCCACCATCCCCTAAACCCAGGTTCTTCTTTCTTTTCTGCAGGTAGGCACAAAGAAGGCATGAGGGACTGGAGCTGGCCCCTAGATTTTCTTTTTCCTTCTCAACTTTCCCTAATTCCTAATTAAGGCTCTTTCACCAAAGGCACACTCATAGCTGAACAGGTGGTTCTCATCTTTCAAAGCTGTTAGATGAAATGAAGGAATAGAGAGAAAAAGGAATTTAAAAAGGAAAAAATTCTTTCTTCATATAATTCACGACCAGCTTCACACCAAACAAACATTTCTTAGCAGGTTCCTTTCATCATGTCCAAAAAGCTAAAGTGAATTTTTCATTAACAGGTGTAAAACATGTCCAACCAATATCACAAGAGAACAATGCTCTTAGGCATTTATATACCGTCTAACACCAATAAGCATGCTGCAATGTTACTTTAATGCTTTTTGATGATTTGCAGCCTCGTATAGTTTTTTTCAACATCATTTGTTCTGATCTAGATTCAAACACTAAGCCAAAAGGACTTGCTGACGCAGAAAGTATTCAAGATTGAGATGGTCATAGGAAAAGTGAAGGAGGAAGCAAAACGTGTTTACTTGCAACCCAAAGAGGGGCAAAAGCCACTCAAATTCAATAGTTTTCTCCAAGAAACTTTTAAAGGTAGGTCTCCTGGAGGTGAGTCCTGTGTCTTCACTCCTTTTAACAAGACTTTTCCATGATCTGGAGGTTTTGGGACTTCCCTGCAAGCCCGTAGGATGAAAGTCAGGAAAGGCTACTTCGTTTCCTTCTTGGCACCATCCTCTCAGTCCTCTTATTTTTCTCCTGCCCCTCAGGCTTTTATTTGCTATTTTGTCCCTTAAAAAAATTTTGAACTGATTTGAAAGTTAGTTCAAAAAAGCCCATTTTAGGAAAACGTGAATATTAAAAAGGCCAAAAAACTACTGTATTGATGTTTGATTAAGCACCCCAAAAAAGCCTTGTAAGCTTAAGGTTCAGCTCTCTAAGGAAAGTCGCATTGGAGGGAGAGCTTTCATTTTTACTTTACGTACATCTATGCTTTTGCAACTGAAAAAAAAAAAACACTATAAAGTTCTCAACCTTATACAACTGAACCTGTCAGTTACAGTGATGGGATTTTAAAAGTTCCAGATACAACCTAAATGTTGAGGTGCAGACATCAAGCTGTACCAAAATATACTTACAAAATCTGTGTGCCCAGGCGTAGCAGCAGCCTCAGGTCATTCAGCCAGCTGCCTACCAGCCACCACCCCAAACCCAGGTCTTCTGGTTCCAAGTCCAGTGCTCTCTGGTACACCAGGCTCTTTTCCACCAACCATGAGAATATTCACTTGCCAGATTTGGGTAAGTTTCTTCCAACTGCCAGAAAAAAATGAAAGTGGAAAGTGACTTGAATACCAGCCTTCCCTCATGGCCAGCTTGCTACAAGTTGGTTGACTGAGACCTATGATAGCACAACTAGGTGACATGCTGCCCCTTTGGGAGCAGTGCCAGCCACTGATGAAAGCAAGCACTGAGCAAAAACAATATACTCATAACTTTTCTAATAGGATTGTGCTGTTTGGGGTCCAAGTAAGCATGATTAAAATGAGTAAATTACCCCCAAAGTTACAGAATTGGTCCCCAATCCTACAACCACCTCAAGTAACCTTTCACCTCAGCCATGAAAGATTTTCCCTATCTTCCTCCCCACTCCCACATTCTTTCAAATCATGCCACATAATAATCTAGCCTTAGAAAAGGGAAACATTCTTTGGCACTTTAATAACTTTTCTAATATTCATACAAACTCACAATAACAAACACGATACTGACCCCAACCCTCCCCCCAAATTGATGAAAGAGAACTCAAATGAAGGATGCAAATTCCAAATAAAAACTTCTAATGTCTCAAGCAGAATGACCCAGCAAGTGCTACACAGTACACTGAAGCCTGAGGGTGATGATGAAGTCGGTGCTCTGAAATTATCAGGGACCAAGGTCACTTCTGCATAAGTAGCTCCTTATTTCCACCTCCAACTTCTGCTTTTATTTTGTGCCTAGATGAGGTGGTGGTTCCTAGAAGATCATTTGAGATTTGTGACATTGAAGAAGTCATAAAGGTAAATGTGAGCACATTGATGGTTATCAAGGTAAGAACATGAGTTTTTCCCCCAAAAAGGTGGTAATGGTAGGAGAGAATCACTACTGTCTTGTTTTCAGCAATCAACAAGAAACAGTTCAGGTGAGAGGCATCTTGGTGAGCAGCAGCCCCTTGTCATATAACATGGTTGCCAAAGAAAGCTGGTCCTCCACACTGTCACAGGGCAGGTCCCCTACTCTTACAAACTCTGGGTAGGAGCGGAGCAAGAGTTCCATGGCATCAGCTTGCTGGGGGTATATCTCCAAGCACTTAGGTTCCTCCAGATGATAAACACGAGAGTTTTCCACTGTATAATAGAGAAACAAATGGCCTCCCTCTCCCACCAGCCGAGCTATCCCATCCTGAAGCATGTGCACTTCTGTTTCTGTTGTCAACTGGGCCCCCACGTTTACAGGTTCTCCAGCCTCCCAACGAATTGGGAGCCCATAAACACTTAGTGCCCTTTCCCTATCAGTCAACACAGGGGGCAGAGAATCGTGGATGAAGTCTTTGGCTCGCTGGTCAGCCACCGCATCGACCGGGGCAAAGTGTCCCAAGCGGGCAACCAAAACCCGCACCTTCTCCATGAAAGCAGTTCTTCGCGGATCCTTAGAATCCGAATGCTGGGCCCCCATGTAATCCATGAAGTCTCGGGGCAGACCCCTACGAAACTCCACATTTTCTTCCATTGCAGCCTGCACTGCCAGAGGCAGTACGGCCTCCAGGAAGTCGCCCCAGGTATTGCGCTGGTACGTGGACAAAGTGAGGTGCAGAGAGTGCACTCCATCCTGGCATTCGGCTTGGTGGATGAAGCCCCGAGGAAAATAGAGCAAATCTCCAGGTTCCAGCACGGTCTGCAGCACTGGCTCACCGAGGTCATCCTGGCTGAAGTTGGGGCTGGATGTCAGGGCCAGTTCCTCAGTGGGGATCCGGGGTCGGTAGACACGCCAGAGTTTCCTACCTTCCAGCTGCAGCACAAAAGCCTCGATGTCGTCGTAGTGGGGGGCAAAACCTTGCGAGTTGGGGGGCGTGAGGTAAATGTTGGAGCCTGCCATGCTGCCAAACTGCTCCTGGAGCACAGCCAAAAACTGCCACACGGTGGTCGAGAAAGCCTGCGGACAGAGGAGGCGCAGGGAGCAGCCGGCCTGGTACAGGGACCACGCGGCGGCGGGCAGGGCGCGGCCCGGCGGGTTCAGGGTCTCTCGCCGCCCGTTGATGTAGCGCGCGGCGTCCAGGTGCTGCCCGAACTGCACCTCCTCGTTGCGCAGCATGGAGTCCAGGTCGGCGGTAGAGAAAAGACCCTGGTAGTAGGTGTGGTCCTGCCGCCGCACCAGCACCGCCTCCCGCTCCCACAGGCGCCGATAGAAATGATCCGGCGGCATGGGTGAGATGAGCCACTCAAACAGGCGCGCCGCCCGCCGCCGGCTGCTGGGGATGCGGTTCAGCTCGGCCAAGACGCGCAGCAGCGGGGAGTCCCAGGACAGCTCCCCGCCCGTGCTGTCCACCTGCGGCCCCGAGAGCGTCGCAGGGACCACGGTCGGTGGGGCGGCCGCCAAGTGCTGGGCAGAGCACAGCAGGGCCGAGGTCTCCACCGCGTGCGCTGGCGCGCCGGGCACCTCCACCAGGCGCGCAGGCGGCGCGGAAGCCGGCACCAGGCGCGCGGGCAGGGCGGGCGCCTCCATCAGGCGCGCCGGCGGGGTCTGCAGGGAGCGGGCCGCGGGCGAGGCCTCCAGCAGCTCTGCAGGCCCCAGGTGGCCGTACGGCTCCCGCCGGGCTGCATCCGGAATGGCCGCCGCCCCAGCAGGCAGCGGGTCTCCGGGATCGTCCACCGTCGACTCCACCCTCGAGTCCTCCGAGTCCTCGCTCGGGAGCGTCTGGGCCCTCAGCGCGGCCATGCGGGACGCAACACTTCTCCTCAGCTGCCTTCGGATCTTCCTGGGCCTCAAGGGCAGGGCCAGGACCGACCCGCTGTGTGGCTGTGGCTGGCGCCGGCGCCTCAACCGCCCGCGTCTCAAGAGCCCGGAGCTAGCCCGCAGCCCGTCCATGGTCTGCCCTCTCCGGAGCGGCCGAGAAGAGGAACCACGCAGCCTGAGGCCGCGGTGCACTCTGGGAAGGCGGGCGCGGCATCCCGCAGCCTCGGGGTTGGCCACGCCCACCACTCTCCCACCGAGCGCCTCCGGCTCTCCGGGTTAGCGAATGTCAAGTTAATTTAAACGCATGGCTTCATATTAGAGCGGCGGAGTCCTTGCCAAATTAACAAGGATTCCATCTTTAGTGGGCAATTTAAAAATCAAGTTGCTAGGATTCCAGGAGAAAGAAAGTTGGCCAACTAATTCTTTTTTCTTTCTAGTCTCTCTTTCTAAATAACACGCTCCCCAGCAGCTTTGCACGAGAAAGTGCCGGATTCCTGTTTTCAAGGAATGCTCTCAGGCAAAGTTCGAGATTTAGATCAAATCTCAGGTCTACTCGGTGTTTACTCTGCCGATGACGTTATTGATTGAAGCCCTATCTAAACTCCCTCCGTCCTTTTTCTCCGTTACAAATTCTCAGTCCTTGCCCTCTCTTTTAAGATATTATGAACTTTTCTCCTTGCGTTCTTGATATCTGCTCTTACCATCTCCTCTGGGGTTTTGTTTCATTAGCTACAACTTCTCTCTCCAGAATCTTCAATCTCACCTCCTCTGAATCCTAAATTGACTTCTTAAATCTGGGCCTCTCATCTAACAGATCCTGTGGTAAGCATCAGGGTGTAATTGTTGAGAACAACATGGTCACTGTCTCCATTGTAACTACTACGTTGTTTTGTACATAAATATTACTTGTCTTCGTTAGACTCATTTAAGATAAATTCCCAGGAATGGAATTGCTGACTCAAAGGGCAAGATAATTTTTGTGATTATTAATAGGTTTTACCAAACTCCCTCCAAAAGGGTCTACAATGTCGCAAACAATTATAACCATTTTAGAGTACATGGTCTCTAGGACCTTTTCTATGGTTCTGTTTGATCTTTCAGTCTTCTCCTCAGTCACACTTTTATCCAAACACTTGCCAAAACTTTAAAATTTTACCCCTACGTATATATCACATCCACCCTTTTTTATTTCTCGTATGCTCTATTACTATGGTCCCCAATTGGGGGAGATTTTGCCTCCCCAAGAAACACTTTGGTTGGGGAGCAGGGTCGGGGTAGGGGGAGATGTTATAATATCTAGTGGGTAGAGGCCAGAGATGTTGCCAAACATTCACAGTGCAAAAGACAACCCCCCACAACAAATAATTATCCAACCCAGAATGTCAATAGTGCTGAGGCTGAGAAACCCTGGTCTATTATGTGTAGGCTTCCAGCTAGTCTCTATAACTTTAATCTCTCCCTGTGCCTATTTATAACATAGTTAGACTGTTTGCTGTTCCTTTTCATATATTCTCCTCCATACCTTTACTAATGCTGTTCCTTCTAAATGCTGTCTCCAAATCATCTTTTGACAAAACCATTATTAAAACCCGTTTCACATTCCGTCTCCTCCCAAAGGCTCTCCCATCTCCCTCACCACAAGAGAACTTTGATCCTTTAGTTACTGCACAAAATTGGGGTTCTCTGCCTGATGTGCATAAATAAGTCAATTAATTATGGCATCAGCCTTTGGGGCAGAAATCAGCTTTTGTTGCGTAAGATCAATCTGCAGGGAGCCAGGGGGCGTGTGCCCTCAGATCTGTTTCCCCAATTCAGGATTTGGGGTGAAATTTAAGAGGTTAGGGAGAATAGGCTGGCACATGGAAACACTGTTGAGACAGGTTTATGATTTGTGGGCTTCGAGCACTTATGATAAGGTTTTAAACATTTATGACAGGGTTCTAAACATTGATGGTGGGATTCTAAATATCTTTGATGAGGTGGGGAAGGAATTTTAACACCAGCTCTTCCTGAATGAGAGACCCCTCGCTTCTGATAAGAGTCTAACTTTCACGTTCCAGTCGTGTCTCAGTCCTTGGTTTCCACAGGAAGGAGGATCTTTGGTTCCACAGTTGTTTCAGGTCACGAGTTCTTCTTTTGAGCATGCCCAGGCTACATGACTGCAGTTTTACTGAAAGACAATTCTTTCTTTCCTTTTCTTTTCTTTTTTCTTTTCTTTCTTTCTTTCTTTCTTTTTTTTTTTTTTTTGAGGAAGATTGGCCCTGAGCTAACATCTGTTGCCAATCTTCCTCTTTTTGCTTGAGGAAGATTGTCACTGAGCTAACATCTGTGCTAATCCTCCTCCATTTTGTATATGCACGCCGCCACAGAATGGCTTGACCAGTGGTATGTAGATCTGCACCCAGCTTCCAAACCTGCGAACCCCAGGTCACCAAAGCAGAGTGCGTGAACTTAACCACTATGCTAACAGGCCAGCCCCTGAAAGAGGATTCTTAATCACTCTGTTAATAAGAGATGGGGTCAGTTGAACTGGGGGCCTATGGTTACACTTTCACGTGTATTTACCACCTTGTGTCTTGTATGGTATATTATGTATTTGTCATATTCTTTCCTAAACTTCCTAAATTGTAAACTTCTTCAAAGAAAGGACTTCCTTGTGCCTTTTTCTCTTTCTTTTAGAACACTGCTTATCACACAGAAAGTGCACAGGAAATGTTGTGGGAAGCAGATCAACCAGAATGGAGTCCCTCCCAATCATTATCTATGGCGTTAGCTTAGTCAGATTACTCTCTCAGGTCTCAGTAGTCTCATCTGTGAAATGGGAATAATGATTGAACCTACTTCTTCATAAGATTGTTGTGAGGATAAATAATGCACTTAAGGCATTTAGGACAGGGTCTGGTACAGAGCTAAACACTTAAAAATGGTAGCTATCATAATAATTTATTATTATGGAGCAAAGCCCTATATGATGGTTTGTGTGCCACTGGCCTAGTTCAGAGGAACTAGGAGCAGGGTGAGGCAAAGAAGTTCTTGAATTGGGCAGGGTGACAGCGTGGGATGGGGAGAGTAAGATGAGTTTTGCATATGCCCTATGGAAGTGTGAGTAAATCAGCTGGGACCAGATCAGACAAAGCCATTGGGTGTTGCTCTGCACAGTTACCTGGCCAAGGGCCAGAGCAGGGACTGCAACCAATGGATATTCTCCTCCCATGTCCTGTACCCTAGTCTAGGCTGCCGTGTCTGGAAGAAAGGAATAGGAGGGGGAGCCCTCTTCCTGATACATAGACTGTGTGTGCTGGTAAGACCCTGATATCAGGTCCCCTGGGGAAATGTTGAAGAAGGCAGGTTAAGTTTGTCACTGGGAGCTTTCTGCCTTTTCAAAGCCAGTGGTTTTCACTAGACAATGGACACATCCTACAGTGAAGTGGGGAGATGAGCTGTGTTTCCCTGCTCGCAAAGCTGGGGGACACTGTGCTCAGCTAGAGGGCTGTAAATTTGTCTTTTCCACATCCTATACAATATCTCATCCTCCCAGTCTTTCCTGTGACCTCATCTTTTTCTTTTTTCAACATTTTGTGATTTCCTTAAACAAACAATGTTGTTGCTGTCTTCTAGTTTCCCCTGAGACTGGGAGGCTCCTTTTGGAGCCTGACTTATCTTTAATTTCATCTCTTTTCCTGTGGCTCTACTTCTCACTACAAAAGCAGATATTAATAACCATTTTCATAAATGTGATTTAATGACATGGGATAATGTTCTTAATATATCATTGAGTGGGGAAAAAAAGGAAACAAAATAAGTATTACAGTAGGATCCCATTTGGGGGATATGTGTGTATGTGTATATCTATCCATATATACGTTCATACATACTACTAAAAAAGTTGGGGAGTCTTTCTGCCACAATATTTAACAGTGATTATTTTGGGAGGGTGGGATTCCAGGGGATTATTATTTTCCTTTTCTTTGCTAATTTGTATGTTCTGGGTTTACTACACTGAATGTATATCACTTATGCAGTTAAAAAAATAGTGTTTTTTAGACAACAAACGTCACTTTCCCTAACTCATCTCATTTTTCCTGATTTCTAATCATTGCCTGCCTTGCTCTTCTGTTTTTTTTGAACCAATATAATTCCCTTTAAAAAAAAAAATCAAAGGAACAGATAAAAAATTAGACTATTGGCAGTGAGCACAATGCAGTCTATACAGAAACTGATAAATAATAATGTACACCTGAAATTCCACAATGTTATAAACCATTATGACCTCAAGAAAATAATTTTAAAAAATCAAAGGAACTTGACATTAAGATTATAGAAGTTAATAATTGTTCATCGGAGAAGCTGCCATGGAAAAGAGGTTGAATAGAACCAACTCCATGTTCAAGTCTACATAGAATGGTTTGAAGCCTTTCAGGAAAGTGCCTCAAATTATTTCCCCCACCAAAATCCACTGTTCGATACTTATTTCTTTGGATAGCCATTGCCTTTTACACTCATTCTTCATTTAAAATTCAAATATAGGAGCCACCCGATGGCACAGTGGTTAAGTTTGCACGCTTCTCTTCGGCAGCCCGGAGTTCACTGATTCAGATCCCAGGCGTCGACCTACGCACTGCTTATCAAGCCATGCTGTGGCAGTCATCCCACATATAAAATAGAGGAAGATGGACACAGATGTTAGGTCAGGGCCAGTCTTCCTCAGCAAACAGGAGGATTGGTGGTGAATGTTGCTCAGGGCTAATCTTCCTCAAAAAATAAATAAATAAATAAAAATTAAAATACATTAGGAGCATGTGTTAGTTTGCTAAGGCTGTCAGAATAAAGTACCACAGACTAGGTGGCTTAAACAAATTTATTTTCTCACAGTTCTGGAAACTGGAAGTCTGACATCAAGGTGTTGGCAGGGCTGGTTTCTGAGGTCTTGCTCCTTGGCTTGTGGATGGCCATTTTCTCCCCGTTTCTTGTGGTCTTTCCTCTTACAAGTGTGTTTCTAAATTTCCTCTTCTTATAAGGACACCAGGCAGATTGGACTAGGGTCCACTCTAAGGACCTCAGTTTACCTTAATTACCTTTTTAAAGACCACATTTCCAAATAAGGCCACATTCTGAGGTACTGGGTGTTGGGACTTCAACCTAGCAATTTTGAGAGAACACAGTTCAGACCATAACAGAGAGGTGATGTATTAGAAAAACCTCA